CCGTCCCCAGTGTCAAGCGGGTTCAGGGCAAGGTAACCACTCCTCAATGTCAAGTGAGTTCAGGGGCAAAGCACCCCACTCCTCATCAAGGATGGTGAATCCTCGAATTTCCCTGCCTCATCCCCAATATTGGGCAGGTTCAAGTAAAGGAGTAAATTGAGTCGTGCTGAGTCGGCACAACACAAGATGAGGCGTCCCAAGCCGTGCCTCCCTCCTCTAGGATAATTTGGGGGGTCAGTTCGGCATGACCCACGGCTTGAGACCACACGGGCCCATGCCATGCCGTGGGTCGGGCTGGTCCATTGGCCAGGCCTTGGGCCCATGCCGCACACTCAAGGCAAGGCACCCACTCCCCATCCAAGGTTTTTAAAATTGGACCGGATAGGGAATCATTCTGGGGTTGAATGGTCTGCTTGTCAAACGGATGACCCGCTCAGACAAAAAAAAGTTAGAAAAACAAAAAGGGCCAAAAACGGTTGTTCGGGTTGACGGTTCAACCGCCCAGGTCAGCGGTTCGCTAGCCAAATAAACGATTTTTGGACAAAAAGAGGTTTTGAGGAGAAATGGTGTTCGGATCCCAATTTTTCGATCTAACCATCTGGTTTGATCTAGTTTTGAAAACACTATCCCCGTCAACCCAATATTCAATTTGATAATAGAAATGATCAAAAGGATATTGAGTATCAACCACATGGTAAATTTCTAAAAGTACACTAAATTGTCTTTAATATTCAAAAATGTAATTTATGAAAATTTTGGAAAATTTATTATACTTGTGTAATTTTGAAAGTTTAATCAAATTTATTTAAATTTTTATTAAATAAATTATTTTATTTTTAAATGGTTTACTTACAGAATTATACTAATTTATCTTATAATTTCTAATATAAACTAATCAGTAATTTCCTTTTTCCAATATTATACTAATTTATCTTAATAATTTGTGTAATTATTTGTTCAAATTATAGTTTTCCATTTCCCATAGTCATTTATCTTTAATAACTTTCAATAATTTGCAATAAAAATTACATACTTTTTCAATGATTTTCCAAAATCTATCAAATGTAATAAAATTTCCAAAATATTCTAATAATTTTTAATAATTATTCAATGCATTTTAAATAAACTTTCAAATACTTTATATCTTTTAATTTTAAAAATGTTATTTTATGAAAATATAGTTTTATGACAATTTTTGAAATATTTATTACATTTGTGTAACTATGGGGATTTATTGATTTTTTTTTAAAATTGTTATTAAATATATATTTTTATTTGGTAGTTTACTAACAAAATTATACTAATTTATCTTTTATTTTTCAATATAAATTAATTAATAGTTTCGTTTTCTAACATTATAATATTTTGTTCCCCCATTTGTATTTGGTTATTAATTATAATAATAACAATAACTAAAATTTTATACTTTTTTATAATTGTTAAATATAATTCTCAATTTTATAGAAATTAATTAAAGAGTTTTCAATTTCTATAAAATGTTGTTAATGAGTTAATTAATAACAATATTTATTAATTTATTAATCGTATTTATTAACTTTTGATAATAACACTATTTAATACTCATTGAATATGGATGGGATCAAATATTAACCGTATTTAACTATTTATTAATTAATATGAATATTTTAAATGAGGGAGTGTGGATATAGATTGGGGGGATGCATTTTAGGAATTCATTAGGGAGTGGGGCACCATGATACTTTCCTATTGGTTTAAATGAGATATCTTAGGAGAGATATTATAGGAATACTTTTAGGTAGTTGGGTGACGTGGCTTAATGGGAGTGGTGGGAAGGGGAGAGGAGAGAAAGTCAAAGAGAATGCAGGGGGTAATGGAGAAGGAGAGGCATGGCGACGGGACCCGTGCTTTTTTAAGCGAAAGTTAAATATATTAATATTTTAGTCGGTTTTCTAGTATTTTAGATCGGATTTGGTTTAATAAATATATTAATATTTTATATTTTAAATTTAATTTTGTAATACGGGGAAGTAGGAAAATTTCCATATTTGTTAGTCTAAAATATTTTATATCATAGATTTAATTTTTGTAATTTATTTTTTTACAATATCATTGTAATTTATGAAATTTAAAGTTAATTTTTTTAAGTTTAAATCTTTTGAACAAACAAACTAAATCGAAAATAGACCCAAATTGATACAACCCGAGTTGGTGGGTTTCCGCTATTGGTCAATCAGTTTCGAGTGACAAACTATGGACTTGATCTGATCGATTTGGTTGGCAAAACAGCCTGCAATTGAACCAAACCAATCATTGAACACTCCTAATTTCAACTAAATTTATGGTATAATCTCTAATAAATAACAATAGTTTAATCTCTAATAATTATTGAAAAATTATAACAAACGTACACAATCATTGAAAATAAGTTTATAAATGAAAATATAATAGATATATAATAAAAATACAATAATTACAAAAATATAATAAATACTGAAAATATACTAAATAAGTCAATAAATAGTGTAATATAAAATAATAGTTTAATCTCTAATAAGTATTAATCTATAAATTATAAAATTTATAATTACTAAAAATAAATTTATAACAAAAATACAATAAATAGGATAAATTAAATTTCAAAAGTTAAATAATAGTTTTTTAATCTCCAATAATTATTGATAATTTTTTATTAAATAACAAAATAAAAATACATTTAAAAATAATTATTGAAAGCATATTTATTAAAAGCAATAAATAATTACTAAAAATAAAATAAATATTAACTATAGTAAATATATAATGAATATACACTATTATTGTAATATTGTTACTAATAAATATATTTTCATTGATAGTTATTTTCTATAATTATTAATTGATATAAGTGAAATTAATTATTTACAATATTATTTACTTATTTAAATAATATTGTTATTTAAGTTCTTAAAATATTAATTATTTATTGAATTTAAGAATCCATAAAATTATAATTGTACTATTATTACATAATATGAATATTATGAATTCATAATTCTATTCTAATTATGAATATTATGAATTCTATTATAATATGAATATAATTAATTTTGTAAAATATTAAATTATTATCCATAATTCGTTATTATGAATTCTATTAAAATATTAAATTTATGTTATTTTAACTATTTAAAATTTTGTCATGTTAAATATTTTTTTATTTAAATATTTAAATAATATGTAAAATATTTAAAAAAATAATTTTTTGAATTTTATTTATTTTAATGTTATTACGTATTATTAAATATTTTGTTATATTATTTAGCTATTTTTAATATTTTTTATTTAAGATTTGTAGTTATTGAAATATTTAAATAATGTTTTTTAATGTTAAATTCTTATTATTTGAAAAAAAAATTTAAATTGAATTATTCGTAAAATTATAATTTTTATTGTTATTACATAATTTTATGATGAATTTTGTAAAAAATATTGAATTATTAATAATATGAATATTATTAAATCTATTAATTTTTTGTGTTTTGAATAAATATTTTAAATTTAGTATATAATTTCATTATAACATTTAAGTAGTTCTGAATTTTTTTAATTGAAACTTTCTTTAGATAGATATAGATAAAAAGTGGGGGAGAGGATAAATAGGAATTAGAGATAGTTTAAGATAGAATCTCTCTACTAAATTAGAGATAATTTAAGAGATAAATAGGAGTTAGAGATAATTAAGGAGATAAATAGGAATTAGAGACAATTTAGGAGGAAGTGGTGCAAAGTGGTGCCACTTGGCTAAACATTAGAAAAGCTTTATGGTTGTTAGAAATAGTTAGGTATATGTGATTTCCTTATTGATTTAATGGGTAATTATGTAGAATTAAAAAAATTAAAATTAAAAAAAACAGAAAATTAGGAAGGGGTTTTCTGCAAGGAGAGCTATGCTGACATGGCAGGACCACTTTTAATATATATATATAGATTATTATTATTATTATTATTATTATTATTATTATTATGTATATATAATTATAATAAGTTTATGACTAATAAAATTAATATTTATATTTATTTATTTCATATGTATAAGTTAAAAATAATTAGTTTTATCAAAAACATATTTTAAGAGAGGATAGGGAAGGGATTTAATCAATCACCCCACTTGATTGGTTATCACCAAGGTTCAAAGTATTGATACAATACGAGTTTCGGCCATATCGTAACGACACTTAGAAATGGCCGAAACTCTATTTTTTTTTTCAAATTTTGTTTTTTTTTGGAAGCTTTTAGCCTGCTTTTTATTATTAAAAAAAATTGGGGTCTGAAACAGGCATATCATTTTCAAAAGATACGATATGATACACCCGATCATATCAATACTTTAAACCATGGTTATCACTTTTATGATATCACTTGATTGGTTACAAGTTTTTTTAATATTATGTCTTTTCGATATCACGGTTAAACCCTTTTGTCAATTTAAGCACAATAAAATTGATGTAAAATAAATTGGAACTTGAAATATCTGATTTCGAATTAACTTTAGATCCAAATATTTAATAATCGAATCAAATGCGGATGTAGCTATCTAATATGATTATAACCCTAGATGCAAGTAAGGTTCTTCCCTCTGGGTGTACGCCCAATACTAGGAAAGTAGGAAGTAGGAAACACTAACGAAGGTGGACGAGTTTCCCTGGCATTTGCCCCTCCATCTTAGTAGTTTTATTTGTGGCCCCGAGTATCCCCTTCGCAAATCGCAATGCAAGATACCGCCACAGGCCGAGATGGATGGGCTGTGGAAAGGAAGCTTCGCATTGCAATCCAAATTGGATTACGGGGCCCATAATGGGGCCCATGTAACGCACTTGTGGGCCGTGGCTCTCCTGAGTTCTGTCCTGGAATCGGGCTCTTGGGTGAGTTACCTCGACTCGTCTACGCAACGCCTCAGCCCGAGCTGGAGCGGGTCAAGACAGGCCCCCCGTGCCTATAAAAGCTCCCTCTGTTTCAGACCACGCGCGATCCTTACATGTTCGACGGTCCATTTGACTTTCGAATTTCGAAATCTTTCGTTTCTTCACTCCACACGTTACTGTTTCGACTCTAGGCTTCATCCATCTCCATCTCTCAATTCAAGTCTCAAGCAAGCTTGCAGAGAGAGAGAGAGAGAGAGAGAGAGAGAGAGAGAGAGAGAGAGAGAGAGAGAGAGAGAGAGAGAGAGAGAGAGAGAGATGAAGATTACAGTGCCAACCACGATCGTTTCTTTGCTTCTTCTCGTATCCAATCTCTGCTTCGTCTCATTTGCTCGACCGCTCCACTCTGTTCCTGCTTCTCAGTGCAAAGCATGGCTCGTCCAGTCAATCCCCACAGACATGCCTGACCTCCCTCGCATCAATGGTGTTCTCTCCACCGGTAATGAACCTTCATCAATATCAAGCTAATTTGTCTTTGCTCTTCTTTTCTTTCTTTATTTCCCATCTGATTAGCTAATTTCATTTTCGCCGGTACCTCACTGAAAAACGTTATTAGCTGATGTTTTCCGGTGGTTGGCCGGAAATTCTACTAAGGGACTAAACATAATCGCACAATATTGGCAATTCTTAGCGCATCCTGATGATCCTTGGTCAGGAGATTTTGGCTACTCTAAGTCCCGTATGAAGCGCTTTGGAGCCAACGAGGGTTTCACCGTTTATAGCGCTATCGAAAGTGCAGCTGACCGTAACGTCAGCATCAGGTATAATTACGAGTTTATTGGATAATTGTGTTATTGTTACCATTGTTTTTTTTAACTTCTTTATTGGTATTGCATCTGATTTATATGGTTTTAAATATTGATATGAGACTTTTCTTTTATAGAACATGACACTTGCTAATTCTCTGTGTTTCTTCTCATTCATACTTTCATTTCTATTAGTTTTGTTAGTTGCTGTTTAATTATGGTTAGAAAGACGAATTGACATCATGGAGAATCTGCATACAGAAATCTTCAATCCGCTGATGATACAATAGTATTAGAGTCGGGTGAAAATGCCAGAATATTAAGTTTCACATAATTATGAATTACTGGGTCTAAAGTATTACATGACTCTCCTAAATGGCGGACGTGTCTGTGTCGGGAACATGTCGGAGTCCAACACTCAATGGATTCTTGAGTATACTTCTAAGTAACATTTCCTTTTTATCTCCTAGCTTATTTGATATAAATGAATAGCTAATGTAAAAGATGAATGTCCATGTTTCCCCATATTGCCAAGTCAAACTTTTAGACATGCATAAGATTCTGACTCCTATGTCCATGCAAAACGGGTCTAATTGAGGAGGCATATTACACTCTTCTTGAAGATAGTCAAAGCTTCCCAATCTGTGCAAGGGATTTATGGCAGCACAGTTCCTGAGATTCACCTAAGCTTGGAAACAACCTGTATTAGATCTCCCTTTACAGACTCCAATTCCAACTTGGAAAGTAACCAGAAACAACTCTTAGTTTCTTTACAAAAGACAAACCCGGATGTAATGCATAGGGACACTTGAATATGAACTCTTACTCCTAATTCCTAAACCAACTGGAAATACTCATTTTTAATTCTATTCTACTAAAACTAAACAAACTAGAGGAAAATCTTAGGTAGACCTGAAAACTAGAAACCTTCTAATCCTGTTACATCACTTAAAAGTCTATTACCAAAATGACCCTAACTTTTTGCAAACATTAGATTCATAAGATCTTCTGACTGGATAGATAATTGAAAAACCTATTTAATGACACCGAAATCAAGTCAAGTAGAGTCAAGTATTGCTCAACTTAAACTTTGGATGCAAGAAAAATGATGTGGTTACAAACTTAGCTTTTCAAAATTCTAAGAACTCTGGTAAATGTAGAAAAGACTCATGTCAACCAAAGTTAAGAGCACCCAAATATTACAAATGATAAATTAGAAAAGAGGATGATGAGAGAGAAAGCAAAGTTAGAGCATAACAAGTTATCATATCAAGAAGAAATTAAATAGAGACAACAACCAAGATGCACTTGGTTGAAGGAGGGGGCGGGATACTAATACAAAGTCTTTTCATAAAATGGCCAATGCAAGGAGGAGAGAAAACCTTATCGCAAGGGTGGAGATAGAAGGTGAAGTAAATGAGGATGAAGGTCAAATGAAGGATTGCATCACTAAATGTTATTCAGATTTGTATAAGGAAGGTTGGACCCACACACCTGGTTTGGATGGTTTGCATTTTGAGGGTATCTTGGAGGATTAGGCTAAGGAAGTGGAAAAAGTGTTTATTGAAGAAGTTTTGTAGCCAATTAGTTTGGAAGGGGGCAAGGTGTCTGCTCCTCATGGGTTCACAATGGCTTTCCACAAAAATTGTTGGGACATAAGGGGGATGTATTGAAGTTGGAGGGGGAGCACAAAAGGTGAAAATGGTGAGGAGGGGATTACAACTGATGTTTTGGACGAGTTATAGGTTCATTTTGAAGCTAGTGAATGGCATCACATTGAGGGCGAGAATAGGGTAGGGAATGAAGTGGTTGATATCAGTAGAAGTTAAGAAGGTACAAAGAGTTTGGAGGGGAAAAAAGAAAAAGTAGGGAATGTATTGAGAAAAGATGAAAATTTTGAAAGGGAAAGCTCAAAAGAGAGCCAAGAAAAAGATGGGCTTTTGGAAGGAAAGGGAAGATGTGAAGGTATTGAAGGTAGTGTGGTTAATGGAGTTACAACTTGTAAAAGAGAAAGTAGAAAACAAAACCAATCAGTGAAGATTTGAAGATTGAAAATAAAGAGGAGGAAGATATGGACTTAAGGGAAGACAAAATTTTGATGGATGAAATTCATGAAGTTGGTAGGGTTGTTGACTTGGAAATGGTGGTCAATACAGTGGTAGAGGTGAGTCAAAATTTGGTCTTATCCTTCATTGGGGCAGAGGAATTTTCCAGGAAAGTCTTTAAGGAGTTGAAGGAAAAGTCTGGTGGGTTTTTTGAGGGTAGAGAAAAGGACAAATTGTTTAGACACTTCATTGATAAATATGGTTGAAGAAGATAAAGGTAAATCACTAATAGATGTTAGGGTTATGCTGAAGGAGGACGATAAGGTGGTAGCAGAGCAAGTGTTTGGGAAGAATGTGGTTTTAGAGTTGGAAAGGATCACTGATATTCACAAGGATACAAAGAACTGTACAACTCTTCCTAATGTTGTATGAAGGTTTAAACACCAAAAAATAATTGGACTATCCTGGTTTCAAAAGTTTTTGCTAGACAAAAGGGAGGATTATTTGGGGTTGGACTCAACAAAAGGGCAAAGAAGACAAAGAGTTTTGAAGAAAAGTAAAGGGGCTCTTTTTTCAACCAACAAAGGTTTGGAGTGATTGGGAAAATCTAATTGCAACTATGAAGGGGGGGGTTTCTTTGGGGGGATTTTCTAAGTTTGATTTTTTGGGATGGAAAGTTGTGTTGGTTTTAGGTTTTTAGGTTTGGTGATGTAGGGGGGTAAATTCGAGTCTCAGTTCAAATTCTTTTTGGATTTGTTGTGGAAGTTTAGAAGTTTTTGCGTTGGGCTATGGTTTTTGGTCCAAGGGAATTTGGTGAAGAAAAAGGGTGTTTGTTTTGATTTTCTTGGTGGGCGATGTCTTATCACATATTTGTACTTCTCCTCTTTTTTAATAGTTTTTCTTTTTTATTTATTTTCAAAAAAAAAAGTTATAGAGGAATTCCATGACAAAGGAGCTCCGGAAAGAAGTCTATACCATACTTTCACCATGAAGGCTGCGTTTGAATGCAGTGTAAATACCAGACCAGAGGAGTTCTGCACTCATTGGTTTAAAAGAGTGGTGATTATCGATGTAAAGATTTACATTGTTTTTATGAGAGATAAATTTCCCTCGATTAGCGATGTAAAACTCGACCTGCGAGGAGTTTTACATCGATTTTCAGTGGTCATTTACATTTCATCCAAATGGCTACAAAACGGATCAATGGATCGAAGTGTAAAACTCCTCCGGTCCGGTATTTACACCGCAAACAAACGCAGCTGAAGGCTCCAAAAAAGAAGGGAGCAGTAAAATTGACTGATTTTAGGCCAATCAGTCTTGTGGGGAGCTTGAAGAAAATAATTGCTAAATATTGGCTAAGAGGATGAGGAAGGTTATGGAATCTTTAATTTATGAGACCTAAGGAGCCTTTATAATGGGCAGACTGGTTACAGATGGAGTGCTGGTGGCAAATGAAATTATAGACTCAAGGAGACAAAGTGGGGCCACAGGTTTGCTATGCAAAGTTAAGATGGAAGGGGCCTGTGATAATGCAAGTTGGAAGTTCTTGGATTATATGTTAAGAAGAAAAAAATTTGGAACAAGGTGGAGAAATTGGATCAATGTGTGTATAACAACACCTACATTTTTGGTAGTGTTGAATGGAAGTTCTAGCGAAAAGTTTAAAAGTTCTAGGGGCAGTAGAAAGGTGAACCCTTGTCACCCCTTCTCTTCATTTGCATAGCTGAGGCACTTAGTAGAATGGTGAAAAGAGCTTACTCAGGGGGTCTCATTGAAGGTTTTAAGGTGGGAGATGGTGAGGTAGAGGCAACTCTTTTGCAGTTTGCTAATGATACTCTTCTATTTTGTGACACCTAACAAGATCAGCTGTGGAACATTAAGGCTGTCCTAAGATGTTTTGAAGTGGTTACAAGATGTCATATAAATATTAAAAAAAGTGAATTAAAGGCACTAGGTGAGGTGGCTGAGTCAGATGACTATATTGATGATGGGGACTCAATAGGGCTTTCAATGGGTCAGGTCTAGTTCAGGACAGTCTGTATATACCAGTCCCGTCCCGATTATTAATCAAAACAAAATCATAGAAATAGAACCATCCCGATTAATAATCGGGATAATCAAGTCTAACCCAACTAGACCTGATTATACTGATAGCAATAATTACTTAAATAAAGAACAACCTAAAAATTTGTTTTTGATAATATAATTTTATAATTTTCTCATTTTACTCTTCAAAAAAAACTAATATTAATAAATATGATAGTAAAATAATAAATTATTTATAAATTAATAAATCAAGTGTTTTAAATCAAAATTATCTTATATATGACCTCTCAAAAATTTATATTTTTACACATAAAAGACAATAAAAAAACAAGAAACTAGGAAACCTTTATTTATTATTAAGGTCTGAGTTGGTTCAGAACAAGCAAGAACCAGAACCAACCCAATTAATAATTGGGACAAAACCACAGAACCAGAACCGCTATAATTGGTTCAGTTGGTCCAGGTCTGTCGGGTAGAACCAGCCCATTTACATCCCTAGGATGCAAGGTGGGTAAACTCCCCATAAAATATTTGGGAATGCCATTAGGGGCTAAATGTAGTTCTAAATCTATATGAGAACCAATATTGGAGAGGATGGACAAGAAGTCAGCACCATGGAAAGTGAAATATTTGTCTAAAGGGGGGAAGATTACACTCATTAAGAGTGTGTTGTCATCCCTTCCATTGTGTCCTTTCTTTATTCCCAATCCCAGCAAGGATGGCTGCTAGATGTGGGATGTTTTGTGGAGAACTTGGAAGGATGAAGCTAAGTGCTACTTGGTTAGTTGGAAGAAGTTTGCATGGGTAAGAAACAAGGTGGAGTAGGGATTAGAAGAATGAAGGTGATCAGGTGAACACTTCTTTATTAGGAATTTGGCTTTGGAGGTTTAGGGGGTGTTTTGTAGTGTGGATGAGAAACCACACCCTGTGGCAGGGACCTATCCACACCACACCATAGTCCACATCTGTTCTGAACTGTGGACTGGACCAGTCCACACCCACAGTGGCATTTTGTAGTAGTGTGGACCAGTACACTCCACACTTTTTGATTCCATGCATCTCATATACATTTTATGAATGATCTACACAGTTAATCATAAATATCTAATTTTTTCATTTTATATGATAAATATGTTGAAAAATGCATCAATGAATTAATATTAACCAATAAATATTATTTTTTATAAAAACAATAGTAAAATAATTAAAAATTTAAAAATATATTTTAAATATTTAAAAATATTATTTTATTAATAAAAACATTAAAAATTAAAAAAATAAAAATTAAGTAAAATAATTAATATTTTACTGACAAAAATATTAAAATGTGATACAAGCAATAGGGTTTCAGCCTTTCAAGAAGAGTGTGAAGCAGGGGATCAAAAATAGACTGTGGACGGGCCCTAACCACGAGTTTTTGCCGTGGATGAGAAATTGGGGTGTGGACGGGACCGGCCCACGATATAGTGTGGACCGGTCCCGTCCACAGCCAGCCGAACAGGTGTTCATCCTGTGGACTGGACCGAAACGGTCCCGTCCACGAGATGAACACGATGCCAAACACCGCCTTAATGACCAACCAAACAGTCTATGAGGTAGGGTAGTTGATATAGGACGGGGTAGGGGTTCCAAGGATTGAAATATTGATATGATACACCCCATTGGGCGTATCATATCCATATTGGTGCATCCAGATATGCATGGATACACTGATACGGCAGTGTTTTAAAATATTATATTTAAAAGCTTGGAGGATTATTTCACAACCCCCTAGTGATTCTAAAATAAAAAAAGGAGAGTATTGATCATATTGATATGCATGATGCCCAACTTTGGGTGTCATGCATATTGGTATTTTGATCCTTGAGGGATCCTACTAATTTAGGATCTAGTGGTGGGATTTGTGGGGTGAATGAAGGGTGTAAGTGATTAAGATGAAGAATATGGATGGAGAAGCAACTCAAGCAAGTAGAATGCTTGCTGTTGGGTAAACAACAATGAGATAGGTCACTTGGAAGAAGAAACAGGTGAAAGAGAGGGGAAAAAAGAGAAATTTATGGTAACAACCAGAATTCACTAAACCAAACTTTATTTCTTCAAATCACTCTTCTCTTCTTGCAATTAGAATGTCTCTTTTTATAGACTCAATACATGAGCTCGGATGACCCTTTACAAACTCCAAATTGGACTAGGAAACCAACCCAAAGCAACTTCCAATTGTTTTAGGACTAAGACAAATCCATATGTAACCCATTATGACACTTAAATAAGGACTCCAACTCCTAAACAACTCTAATAACTCATTTTTTATCCCACTACAACTGGCTTACTTTAAATACATCAGAGATTACTAAAAATGGTAATTACAAGAATTGCTATAAATAGTAACCCCAACTCCCAAGATTTACCATAAATGGGAATTTTGAAACAGAAATAAAAATCTAAAAACAGAACCCTATTCTTAGATACCCAAAAATTTTGGCATAGGAATTGGAAAGTTGGGTGGGTAATCCAGGTCTATCAGGTATTGGTGGTGTAATTAAGGATGAAAAAGGAGTTATACTCTCATTGTACTCAGGTCCAATTGGGCAAGGTGATGTACTCAGATCAGAATTTTGGCAGCAGTTTATGGGGTGGAGAAAGAAAAAGAATTGGGTATTGAAAGGCTGATTATTGAAGGGGACTCGAGAACAATTGTGAGCTGGCTGAAAAAGGGAGAAGGTAATTTGGAATTTAAGGAATGATTATAGAAGGTTCAAAGGGCTATCTAAAGAAATGATGATTCAGGTCAGTTGGGTGAGAAGATCTGCAAACCATTTGGCGGATGGGCTGGCTAAGCAAGGGGTTCAGAGACAGTCTATGTATTGGGCTCACTTGTAATTTTCTGGGCTTAATATGTACTCTTGAGTCTGTTATATCTTTCCACAACTTCTTGTTGTACCTTTTTATCTAAATTTAATGAATCCTTTTCTGTGTTTCTGATAAAAAAAGTTGGTTTGTTTCCCCATGAATTCTTTTCCTTGCTTCTGCATCTGCATCAGTAGAGGTGGCTAAGTATGCGAATAGCAATAGAGGTTGGGAAGTAGGTGCAAGGAGCTTCTTCACATGGATGCTCAGTGTGGAGAGGGAGTCAAAAAGCCCATCAGCAATTCATGAAGGGTATAAGATATGAAGTGGGGAATGGAGGAAGGGTCCTTTTACGGAAGGATGTCTAGTGTGATAGAAGGCCCCTCATGAAAATTTACTGAAATTTGGAATAAAAGTTTGAATAGAGATAACTTGGCAAGGAGGGGTATACAAGTAGAAGATTTAGGGTGGTATGCAACAGAAATAGAGAAACAATCAACCATTTATTGATCAACTGTGATTTCTCTTACAGATATTTGGATAAAAATGGTGAATATGTTTGCAGCAGTTGAAATGTGCTTTCTGGAGGACGTACAATCTTTTCTTGGAGGGTGGGATTTGAAAGATTTAAGTAAGAATGGAAGAGTAGCATGGAGTGTCATACCTGCGACAGTGTTTGGGTGGTGTGGGATGAAAGAAATGATAGAATATTTAAAGGAAAGAAAGGCTTAGTTTAAGAGGTGATAAAGAGGAATATGGAATGCTATTTTTGTGATTGGCAAATCATAAATTATTTAAAGGAAGAAACCATAGCTCTTATTTTTGGAAAATCTTTTTGTACAATCATAAAGAATTGAAAATGGTGGATTGATGTACATGGATGGTTTATATCCTCAATGTACAGGGGTTCTTTTTGTATTTTTTGGAACATCTAATACAATACAATACTCCGCAGTTTCATAAAAAAATATAAATGATGTGGAAATGGAAGAAACTGGTTTGTTTCTTCATGGATTCTTTCCTTTTTCCAGAGTCTGCATCTCAAGTTCATGACTTATTAGGTCCTAAGTTCTCTTTCTGGGAAAGATGAGAACTATGATAGCTAGATTCCTATACAGAGTGTTGTATTGTGCTGGATGCTTTGATTTTTAGTATAAATTTCTTCTCTGATACCATATCTGTCTGTATCCTTTCTGTATTTGGGTAAAATGACATGATTTCAACCTTATGCCAAAGAATCTTTGTGGACCTCACAAGACATCCCTTCCTAAAGTTTCTAGGCATCCTAAACCACATTGTTAAACTTACCAGGATCTACTAAATAAATTAAATTCAAGAATTTCTTCAAATCTGAAAACTATGGAAGTTTGCAGAAATGCCCTCCAATGCCTGAAAATCTGTAATTCAATGACTTCTTGACTACTGATCCTATTTTTACCCAAAGGTCACCAATCTCTTAGTTAGAACCTCTTAGAGATTGCCTAGGTCAGTTGGACCTCTAGGAGCCTTGTGGGCCTCACACATTAGAAGCCTGATTTCCCCTCAACATTGCCTGAAATATAGGAACTAATAAGGGCTTTTTCTCTTCATTCTCTTCTTCACCTGCTTAATTTACAACATTGTATTTTAGTCCCTTTTTTGAATAATGACAATGATTTGGATAACTATGGTTATATGGATTATTGGTCCATGCACCCTCCTCATGCTTGTCAACTCCATTATAGCAGTACCCCATGTTCTATCATCTAAAGGACGTTGGCTTCTTTGTGCAATTCCTTTCTGGATTATGTAACTAAACTCATGTGTCTTTGTCCTGGAATTGGATTTGTTATAGGATTTTACAGCACTCTGGAGTCTATCCTGACTATACCAATGAATCATCTAATCTCGCTTCAGGGAGGCCAAATGTGGAAGCTGTGACATTGCTGCTTGATAAATGGTGGGGATCTGGCATTGTCCATGCAAAAGTTTGGATATCAGATCATAAAGATGTCTATATTGGCTCTGCTAACAATGACTGGAAATCTCTCACTCAGGTATTCACTTATACATTCAATAGAAAAATAATCTTCTATATTTGTTAAAGAAGGTATGATCTTTCTATTGGCTATACTTGTATATTGTTATCCTTTTTTTCAGAAATATAGTTTGATTCTTGCTTTACATTTTTCATAAAAATATGAAAACAAATAAAGTGTGCAATATAGAATTTTACCAAAAAAATATTGATTATTTGTTGTTGGGTGAAAGACTAAAATTAATGAATATTCTGTTAAGATAATTTCACTGATTGTCTATGTTATAGTTGCAGAGTTTGTTATTTAAACCAATCAAATATGGTTAACCAAGTAGCTACTTGAGATACGCCAGGAATGTGATACAATACTGCCAATAAATATGCTAGGCCATACTGCCATGGACAGTAGTCACGGTACAACATTATCCAGTGCCTCAGTTTTACATTAAATATTTATTGTTGCGCCAAAGTGATGGAAAATGTCTTTCTTACTAATGGTATAATATGTTTCCGACTTACTGGACTAATATCAATAGAATCCTATATACTAGTTAATCTAGCTTTCACCACTTAAATTTTTATTTCAAGGCAAATTTGAGTTACTAAGACTATGATATGAGGTACACACATTCATATTTCATTCAGATCCACTTTCGTATACTGTTACCAACTTCTAGAGCCAATCCCACTTGATATTCCTAGTGCTGATTCCAAATTTCCAGCAACATGCATTTTTCCACTTAAGCTTCTATCCAGGGATCTCATGGTCCCAAAGCTAGTGCTTTGTCAAAATCCAGTTGCCCTGGCACCTCAATTACTGAGGAAATACAATTACTGAGGAAATACAAGTCCCAAAGCTAATGGATTTTTATTTTATTTCTGTTGTCTTGTGTAGATGCTGATAGGTAAATGATTTTCTTGCCACATTTAAATTACAACAAGAGAACAGTTTGGATCTGGACACTCTTGGTGCAAGGTTTGCAATTTTGATTTTGAGGGAAATTTCAGTCTTGAAAATTGAGAAATTTCATAGAACGTTTGTGAAGAAATTTTAGAATGGTATAAAGTTTTTAAGTTTGATGGAAGCATCATGGACTATGGAACCTTGAAGTAAAAATGAGGAAAGATTACATAGACATGGTTAATACTAACAAACTAACAAAAAAATACTCTCAAAAAAGATCAAGGAATAAAAGTGCTCATTATGGTAATGTATGATGGATAGACATGCAAAATAATATTCACACAAATGTGCTTAGGGTCAAATTTCTCTCAATTCCATGAACATTTAAAATTTCAGTTTCTAAATCTCTTTTTTTTTTTTTTTTATATTTCCCTTATTATGAACATATGGAATCTTTTGGCAGAGTATTGCAAGTATTTGTCTAAATTTTATAGTTACAAGAATTTCATTGATAAATGTTCTGGGAACCCTTAAAATGGGAAACTTCTGGAAAGTATCAACTGTTTTTAGGGAGTTTGTAAACTCTGACTTGGTTTATGGTCATTCAAATTCTCTGATTCTTTGGTTGATTCCTGCAAGTATGCTTAATAGCCACTTGCTACATCTAGTGGTTCTATATATCAAAAGATGGGAATACTGCTTCATGACATTTCTTTGGTTGGACTTATTAGCATTTTATTTCATTAATAGCCAAAAAATCTTTACAGAATATACCAAAAGAAAGGGGGAGGTTGATTAACAAAAAAGAGATCCCTACTCCCAAGAGAGTTCTACAGTGGCATAACACTGCCATACGACATATATAGGGAATCTACCCTGCTACAGACATAAAGTAGATGTCAAGTAGTGAACAGAATTCTGGTTGTGAACCAGAAGATAAATTAGTATTTTCATTGGTGAATTCATGGAAACTAGGAATTCTTTTGGTGAGAAGGGTAACTAACAAAGTGGAATTTTACAACATCAACCAGTGTTAAAAGGCACTGGAGGCTTATGCCTGGAGGTGCACCTGAAGTTGAGGCACTGAGAAAATGTGGAGAGGTGTACAGAGGAGGGACACACATGAAGCACCACATCTAGCCTGGAGGCTTATGCCTCATATGCTCTTACCTTTTAAGCCAATTTTTTATAATAGAATATTATAAATAAAAGTAGGGAGCTGTTTCATCATGTTTCCCATTACATATTAACATAATATTGGTGAGGATTTCCCTCCAAACTTGTTTATTATAATATTGATTTCTTTTTGAAAAAGGTAAACTGGTTAAGTATAATTCATTAAATAAAAATAGGTCCTCTGTACAATGAAATACTGTACATGTATAATCCATTAGGGATCCCCTAAAAAGTTCACCTTCAAAAAAGAAGAGAAGGTATCATCTTTAAATACATTATGTATAGACAACCAGCTTCTAATTTCTTCAACTACCATTATACCATATTTATCACCCCTCCAGTTAGAAGAAGTGATTTGGTACACATTGAAGGGGCTAGAAGAGCTTGGGGTAGACCAAAAAGGACACAGGTAGTAGTAAGAAATGATTTAAGCACTAATAATTTAACAGTGGATATGGCTATAAATAGAACAAATTGATGAAACAGGGTTCATGTAGCTGACCCCATATAGTTGGGATAAGGCATGGATGATGATGATGACCATATTTATCACCCCTGCTTCTGGTGTTGACTTCTGTTCAAAAATTCTATTGTTTCTTTTATTCCAAATGGCTCACATAATAGCTAGGGGGATAACTGGACAACAAAGTTTCCCTTTTTTAGACATATCCGGGAGACTTCATTCTTGTAAAGTGCTTTAACTGAAAATGGGAAACACCATTGCAGATTGAGTGCCCTGATAAAATGAAGCCAAACAATAGTACTAACCCTGCAATGCAAGAACAGATGGCTAACTGATTCTTCCTCAGCATTACAAAGCACACACAAGCTGTCTTGAACATTGAACCCCTTCCTTACTAACATTTCTTTAGTCAAACACTTCTCCAAAGTTGCTATCCATGTGAAGAATTTCACTTTTGAAGGGATAGAAGTTTCCCAAACAGCCAAACTAGGGCATTGATCCCTTAGCTCCAACTCAGCCTTTATAGAAGAATTTAACTGAAAATTCCCCCGAGGACATCCACTTCCAGCATCTTGAATCTTGAAAATTCAGATTTGAGTCCTAATTTTGTAGTAGAGCTAAGAGGTAAGCCGCCAAATCAAGTTCCCCATCATTGAAGTGCCTTTTGTAGTAGCTCTAACCCAGACCATTTTGTTTTCAGCAACATTAAACAAGGTTGGAAACCTGTCCTTTATGCCAATTCACCACACCAAGGGTCCATCCAGAACCATAACTTCCTTCTATCTCCCAGTTTGATCTTTAAACCTTCATTGAAACTGCTAAAAGCTCTAGAAATACCTTCCCACACCCCACACCCTTAGGATAATTGAGAATTTTCTGCATCCCAGGCTCCCAGCCATTACTGCTTATTCCATACTTCTCAGCTATGACCTTCCTCCAAACATTTTTGGGTTCTGTAGAGAACCTCCAAAACCATCTTCCCAAAAGTGCCTTGTTAAAGAGATTTTCCTTCCTGATTCCTAAGCCTCCATGTGATAGTGGTTTACAAACCTGATCCCAGTTCATGAAATGATATTTGGTCGAGTCTTTCCAACCATTCCAAATAGGTCTCATTTTCCATTCAATCTGTGAGGGGATCGAGTACATGGACATATAATAAGCTGGAATGCTTGCCAACACATTTTTTATTAAAGTCACCTTAACTCCTTTAGAAAGATACCAAGCCTTCCAAGCAGCCAGCTTCAAGTCTATCCTCTCTAGAATTGGGTTCCAAATTTCTTTTGATGTACACTTAGTCCCTAATGGCAAACCCAAGTATTTTGAAGGCAAACATCCTACTTTGCAACCCAAAATATCAGCCAACTCATGCACATTTGCAATCTCCCCAACTGCCATGCATATTTATAATCAAATACTATAAATAGAAGTGTGGGCACCATTGCTTTGACTTCTTTCAATGCTTTACATTCATTTCAATATGATGCGATAGACTTGGTTCTATCAATAATATGCAATTTATGTGAATTGTTAATTCTAAAATTTTAATTTGCAGCTTTGGAAGTGATATGTTGATAGCCAGTGATACTTATATAATTAAGGACAATGATACTTCATATTGGTGATATTTCAATTTTGTATTTAAATGTGATGGATTTATTATTATAAATTGCAAATGTGTATTTTCTAACTTTCCTATTTTGGGATATTTACAGTATTTGTTTATTATCTATTTCTTTGGTTTTAATTATTTATAGATTAAAAAGTCCATCCTCAAGAGGATTATGCCATTTTGGTTTATGCCTCATGCCTTAGGATAGTGGAATGTCTTGTGTCACACCTCTGCATTTTAAAATATTGGTATCAATTGGAAATATATTAGTTTAGGTCTATGCCACAATTTCCTTAGGCACCATCTAATTCATGTCAAGGCTGTGTGAAAATGCTGCTTCCTTATGCTAAAGTAAAAAGCACTTGAGCTGCCATCAAAGACCATCTTTGATATCATGCATGGTTCTAGTGTTTTACATTCAAACTATATGTATTTAAGTTTCTCTTTGATTATAGCCTCCACTAAAGTGTCAAACATTCATGAAATGAATTGGAGGTGGGACACTATCATACTCTTGAGAAAAGTTTTGAAACGTGGAGGTATGATGTCAGGGGTTCCACTACCTGGAATCATGATGTATAGTTTAGAATGCAAGAGGCATAAGCCTCCTTAGCACAAGGGAGGTATAAGCCTCCTCAAGGGGAGGAGGTCGGAGGTCTAGAGGAGGAGTTCTCCTTCTTTTCTTTCCTTCTTTTCTTTCTTTCTTTCTTGAGGCATGCATTAGCTGCATGAAACATACTAGAGGTGTATGCCTCATGCAAAAGGTGTTTGATATCTATGCTGAAGCATGTGTTCCTCCAACATACACCTCAGGGTGCTTTGAGTGTACCTTGCCTGGTGGTGCAGCTCCAGGCATATGCCTCGAATGCCTTTAAAATATTACTCTAGAGTAAGCTTTACACGTATGATCCATTGTCTATTATTCTTAGTTAGAAATGAAATTCATTTACTAATTAATATGCAGTATTTTACTAGCCAATGCTTTTTATTATATGTAGGTTAAAGAACTTGGAATTTATCTCGCTGATTGTCCAAAAATAGCAAAGAAGGTGGATGTCTTTTTTAACAACCTATGGGCTCTAGCTTCTCTTAATTCATCTTACACAAAAACAGTTTTGGATCAACAATGGCAGACTCAAAGAAATGTTCCTTGTTGGTCACATTTTCTCCAAGTTGAAGAGAGGTGCAGGTATGCAGTAGGAGAGTTGATTTTCAGCACATAGCAAACACTAATTAACATTTGAGTACTAAACTCTTGATCAAACAAATTCAACTGAACAAACTGAACTCAGCTGAACAAAGCCTTATATGAACTATATGGGGTTGGATACATGAATCTTGTTTCAGCATTCCACTCTATCAAGGACCATATGCTTTGTCATTCCATTCTATCAGGGGTTATAGCTTCTATCAAATAGTGACTCTCAAATCATATCACTGTTGTTCCTATCTATCAAGGATCATATGTTCTGGAAAATGGGACCTCATAAATCATTTCTCAGTGCCACTCCACTCTATCAAGGATCATATCATTTGTGTAATGGTGACCCTCAAATCATTTCTTCACTACCTTAACCAGTGTTTTAAAAGGTGTGGGAGGTGTACGCCTGTAGGCATGCCTCCTGGTGAGGCACCCCCAAAATGTCCTGAGGCGTATGCCAGAGGCACTGGCACCTGAGATGCAAGAGCCGTATGCCTCATACTTTTTTTCACGAGGCGTATGCCTCATGCACCTCATGCACACCTCGCTTCACGCGTTTGCATTTTAAAACATTGACCCTAACTTATGTTCTTTTTTTCTAGAAGCATCAGTTTGCATTAGTTCATTGTTTCTCATTGGTACAGTACGTGTCCTATGCACATTTAATCCATTTTAGTCCATTTCCTCTCCACTTTATCACCTATTTGTGTTACTCCTAGAGTCTCAAGAATGAGTTGATAATGCAAGCTACTATCTGATTAATTTGGTCATAGAAAGATAATGCAAGTTACTATCTAATTGATTTGGTCATATCCATCCACTAAATGGTGCTAAGTTTTCTGCAAACCTCTATGTCTCCCTTGTTGAATGATAAAATTTTTGGTTGCATTGCTTGGTGCAATGGTGAAATCTTGGGATGAGCTGATGACAAGCATGAGAACACGGATTCAAATCTGAGAACAGCAACTTTGGGCAAAAAAAAATGCCAAAGTTTAAATCTGTATTCTGTCCACCCCCAGTAAACTCTCCCAAGACCCTGGAGAGCCAGGATCAACATTGGTTATGACCCTCTATTAAAGAAAGAAAAGTAATTGGTGTCGGGCAGTCATCTTGTCTATACAGCGAGCCTTGGGTGCAGCCTAGGAGATAGGAGTCTAAAAGTGTCTAGGTGTCACCTTGATCACTGTTAGTGGAAAATTTTTTAGTTTAATTTCTCACATAACATAATTCACCCAATTAAACTAATAACTGGGTTTTTCTTTTATGTTTGGGTTAGTCCCATTCAGGAAATCATGTAGATGTTCCCTTAATTACATCTCTGCTAGGGGTAGAGAAAACCTTTTGATTTTGATTTAAAAGTACAAATGAATAGACTAAACTAAGTAGCATTTTTCTACAGAATTTTCCTTTGAAAATCCTGGTATATATTCCCTCTTTGTTTGAGAGAAAACTAGCAAATATAAATAAACAATCTTTTTATACATAACAAGTAAATATGTATTATAAATAGTCATATTTTATCAATAAGGCTACAAATGGCCTTTAAATTGTGGTTATGTGCATTATCATGCTGTGAGGAACCATAATTAGCCAAGTTTCATGAATAAGGCTGTAGATGATTGTCTCGCTCACATAAAGTAATGGTTTTTAGGGTTAAAATGAAGTAAGGAACCATAATTAGCCAAGTTTTATAGACAAGGCTATAGATGGTTATCTCCTTACATGTATTTCAATATGAAGCAAGGAAGAAAAGAAAAAAAAGGGAAGAAAGAAAGGAGTGAGAGGAATAGAAAGAATATGGTCTTCCATCTCATGTGGGAAGCACAAAGGAGTATCATTTTGAAGGGGTGTAGGAAGAAAACAAGATTCCCTACCTTCCTCTTCCTTTTTTTTTTATTCTCTCCACACCAATCTTCTTCTCTTTTCTCTTTCCACTTGTTTCTTAGTGCTAGAAATCCTGCAAATAAATTAGTATTAGCCAATAAAATGGCATTAGCCCCTTCTTGTAGGAGAGGGGTTTATATAGAGGAGGGAGATGGTTAAGTGTCACCCCACTTAAAATGGGTTGAGGGAAAAGAAAACTCTTCCTTCCTAAGGTGACAAGTGTCCCCCCACTTAAAGTCGTTAGAGGAGGGAAAATAACTCTCTCCCCTAGGGTGATATGTGTCCCCCCACTTAAAGTGGGTTAAGGAGGGAGAAGAAAACTCTTCCTTCTTGAGGTGACAACCCCCACTTAAAGTGGTTGGAGAAGGGAAAACAACTCTCTCCCCTAGGGTGACATGTGTCCCCCCACTTAAAGTGGTTAGAGGAGGGAACAAAAGCCCTCTTGTTAGAATAGGACAAGTGGCATCCCCTTATAAATAAGTGGGACATCTCACAAGAAAATTAATTAATATAGATTTAATTCTTTTAGGGTCTGCTGTCCCATTAAATGGGCTCTACTGCAGACCCATTAAATGCTTATTGCATTACAAATAAGACCCAATTAACTTAGGGTCTGTTCACTAAATTGGACTGCAGTCTCCTTTCTTTCCTAAATTATTTCAGCCCATCCATGGGACTGACTAGGCTTAAAAAGTCAGGTTGGAAAGAAAGCCCCTTTTTCTTTTCTTTTCTTTTTTTTTTTTTCTTTAAGCTGTGATTGGAAGTAGCTTAATAACATGCTCCCAGTCCAGCAAAATTAAGGACTTAACAGTCACCATGTCACTCTAGTTTTTTTTTTTTTTTTCTGACATAAAAGGTGATTCAAAACCCAATATCAACAATCAGAAGCTAGGCATCCCCAAACTTCCACAGCTCTAAATACCTCTTAAGAACTAAACAAAAATTAGAAATCCTCAAGTTTTTGGAATAGGGCCCTTCTATCCTTATCACCAAAACCTTCCCTATTGGTAATTATCCTGGATTCATAACTAATCTTGCACTCAAGATTCTTGATCTCCGTGGTCTTCATGAATCCCTGATTTTTGGATGTCCCATGCCTTTTCAAAAGACAATTCAGAGTTTCTCTTATTCCTTCTGAAGAGCTCCTTATTTTCAGTTTCATGGCCATTGAATGACAGACCAGTGGACTTTCTATGGAATCCATCAATATCCCTTTAGATAATAAATTCTCCATGTTGAAATCTGATGCGGCACAAGAATCAAACAGCATGAGAAGAATGCAAGTCCTTTCTCTTCCAATCATAAGTTTTTTTAACACTTTTACGGAGTTGTGGACAAATTATTATCATTACCATAAAGTTATCTCTGTTCTCCTCACTTGTCATAAAACTTTCTAAACTTGTGAAAATTGAAGAGAAAAGCAGAGAACTGAAGAGAAAGAAAATAGAATAAATGGTGAAGAGAAAAACCAGATCTTTAGTTGCAGATTAAGTTACCAAACTACTCCTTTAGTAACTTATATAAATGGGCAAAAAATAAGCTACTGCCACACTCACTCACATTACATGACTTCTAACATTACTAATTTGTAATTACCATTTCTCTTTCCAATTTTTAACCATATCCTCAAGTAGAATTGTTTCAGTTACGAATAATACTGAAATTTGATAGACATTGACAATAAGGATTTCTTTTTGTTGGCAGGCCACCTATTCCTGATCACCAGGTTATTTCCCATGTAACAGGTTATCCACCATTGTATGACCCTTTTATGTTTCAATTACCACTGGAGACTCCTGGATGTACTAACACAACATCACAGCTTCATGCTAGTTATCTTTCTTTTGCTCCACCAGAGGTAACTTGCTAAACTCTTCTACCATTCTGCTTGCTAAGATGATTTTGAGCTTTCAAAATGCAAATTATGAACTGAATTTCACAGATCAAGCATTATGGTTATTCAATTGACGCATCATATGTGTAATCCTTTAAATGGTTGAACCCTGTTGCCTATTCAACAAACCTCACATCCTGGCAAAAGGATAGAATGGAGACATAAAATTAGCTTCAAGGCTGTCTTGTATCATTAAAAACATTCCATTTCACCTTGATTTACATTGATACCTGGACAGCTGGACCTGGTGTCCTCCATAGTCCATTACTATGGGGGACAAAGTAAACTAGAGAGCATGTCTTAGTAAAAAGGGCATTCTCTATTCATGGTGGTGACTGTACATCAATTTTAGCCTGGGGATTTGCATTATTAGTGATGGCAGATAGGTAGGAAAACTACCTAACATGAGGAGGGAGTAAAATAATTAGTAGGGAGGATGGTAATATTCTAGGGTGAAATTGGATGGTTTTAATTATTGGTGATGCAAGGTTTAGGTCAGGATGTATGAGGGGGAGTATGAAGGTTAGGGCTGATAAAATAGTTTCCTTTTCATAGTTTTCAAGGTGCCAAGGTGAGGCTAGGCAACAGGGGGGCACCTGGTCGCCTAGGCGATGGATTTTTTTTATGTAGAAAACATAGATCCTAGGGTAGTTCCCTAGGTACCATAACCATATTTCCTTTATAATTATTCATAACTTTCATAAGAAAAGTATAGAGTTCATGTTAAAGTATAGAAAACCAACATATTCATGAGAAGAAAAAGAAGGAAAAGAAAATTAAAAAAACATAGGGGCTGAACCCTTATTTTAGTAGTTGTAGTAGTAGTTTAATAAAAAGAAATTAGTATAACACACAAAATGAATATTTTAGTTTAATAGTGCCTATTTTATAATTATAATGTCAAAACATAAAGAATAAAAATGTATTTTATAATGCATAGTACAAAACTGCTTGGTGGTTGGGCGAGGCGAGCCTCAAAGGGTGCCACGTTGCCTAGGCGTCACCTTGACAACTATGTTCATTTTATATAAATTAAAATATTAAATATGCATGAATAATAATAACCAGCACTAGATTCAAGAATAGAAATTTAGAAATTTGGGGCATATAAATTGCAAGAAGATTTATGAGCAAATAGAGATAGACAGAGAATAGTAGAAGACAATAAGGAAGAATGTAGTGTAACATTAGCTTTCCTTGGGTTTCTCCTCAATTCCGTAGAATTGGAATAACTAGCAATTCCACTCATTTGGAACCATGCTAAAATGCAGAATTGAAAGGCTAAAAGTTTGCATTTTGCTGAGTCCCTCTTTAATTCAACCCAAACTGCTCAATCCAGAGATCACTGAATTGGCAACTTCAGTTTCATCCTGATCCAAGGACACCCTAACAGAATATGCAAGGGAAAACAGAGAAGATGTCTGATGCATAGATAACTCTGATATCTCTAATACCAATTAAGATAGAATCTAGTTTTGCATGGACATAGATGTCGGAGTGGGAATCCAATGAATGTCCAAGAGTCTGACTTGGCAAGATGAGAAAACATGGACCCAAGGACATGTCTATGGAAAAGTATATTCTATTAAAATAGTTCATATAATTTTGAATTCTAACATTATATACGTGCAGAAGAATATTACTTTTCTAAGTAGTGTTTGATATGAAAAATTGCATTCATCTTGTACATTAACTATTCATTTATGTCAAATAACATAAAAAAGGAATTGGTATGTAGATATTTCCTCAAGAACACACAGTGTCATATTCCAATGTGTCTGACATGGACACATCATCCATTTAGGAGAGAGTCCATGCAACACCGGTGGGATCACTTGCTTTCATACCAAATTGATAAAGGATCTCCCACTCAGATACCAATTTATGTAGAACTAGAATGACCTAAGGATGCTTCTAGGAGGGCAATAATGAGCTAGGGAGGGTTTTGACATGATTTTAGGACTGAAGGTAGATATCGGTAAGGTCAATAAAGGTAAATAATTTGCTCTATTCATGACTATGTTGTCTGAGTACGGCCATAATTTGTCTAGCTCATATCTGAATTGGATGATGTTGAGATTGTAACATTGAATATCAGCCTCTTTGTGTCCTGCATCAATCAGCACTTTAAGATAAGTGTATCATAAAAAATGCTCTCACCAACTCAATATTTAGTTGATGACATTAATGAAATGCCCTCTCAAGAAAGAAGAGCTTATCTAGAAAGATAAGTGAATAAATAAATACAACCAGGGAGAGGGGACATTAGCTGAGTGTCAATCATTAATCTTATTCACTTTTGCCCACTTTACTGGGGCTTACTGGTTACTGCAAGATGTTCTCTAAGCCCCTTGAAAATTTGAAATAAAGTTTTGGCCTCCACTTTACCCTTACAAGTTCCCAAGAGTTCTTATGACTTTTCTTCTGGTCATTTTCTTTTAGTATTTCTTTTAATGTAATTTATTTTTCAAACATGTCTTTTTCAGCTGTCATTTAAGAAGTACCAGACAGATGAACAGGGATGGGTTGATACAATAAAATCAGTTGGTTCTGGGGCCACCGTTAGAATCAGTACTATGGACTGGCTTGGTCAATCTCAATACATGAATCAGACAGTCTATTGGTCATCCCTTTCATCTGCAATCTCAGAGGTAACATGTTCAAGTTTAAAAATTGAATGGTGGTTCTGGAATGGTATTTGAAGAGACAGCATATCCATAATTTCATATATCATTTTGAAATCGAAATGGCGGCATTGTTGTCTTTCCTTATAGGATTTGTACCATATATCAAATCTGGGATGTGCTTAGCACACCCTTGAAATATTTTCTTGCTTTTTAGGCTCAATTTGGAAAGAGTACAAATACAAATATGTACAGTACAAATACATACAAAATATAAGGTTTTGCACTCTACATATTTGTATTTGTACTCCTTCCAAATTGAGCCTTACTAAATCTAAAGTTGTTTTCTTGAGAATTTATTGCTGAATTTGATGCAAACCTGATGTGGACAGTGGACAATGAATATTTGGAATCAATCTGCCTTTAACTAGTTTTTATGTTGGAACCTAAGAAAAATATCTTGCAAGACAAATCTGAACTTTCTTAGGATCCTTGGTTTAACAAATTTGTCATATTCATTTTGATTACTTGTTGCAACTAACTACCCCTTGCACTTTCCATTTGCTGAGAATGTGAGACCTCTTGTATGTATCAAGTTAGTATTCCCTAATGGATGATCTGATTACCAGGTTGTCTTCTCCAAGGGTGCAACAGTCAAGATATTAGTAGCCTACTGGGCACATTTTATCAAAAACACAGATCTTTATTTGAAGTCCCTCCTTTACTCCAACGTACTCTGTGCATCATCCCAGTATAATGAATGTACTGGTAAAGTTGAGATCAAGTATTATAAGGTGCCAGGTTTCAACTTCACTGGGCCATACAGAGAAAACGGAAAGAAAACAGGGAACGTTTACCCTGGATACACAAGGGTGAACCATGGGAAGTATGCGGTTAGCGATATGCGTGCACACATTGGAACCAGTAATCTTGTCTGGGATTACTTCTATACAACAGCAGGTATCAGCTTTGGGACATACAATCCTGCCATTGTTTTACAGCTTCAAGCAATATTTGATGCAGATTGGAATTCACCTTATGCCACTCCAGTTGAAGAATTGGCGAGTGCTCCAATTTCTTCCAGTAGATGAGTACTAATGGAATCAATGTCAGCAGGAAAAGCATTGATAGCATAATTTGCTGGAAACGTGTTTTCAGTTGGGTTTGAAGGTGGAAGCAGCAATTAAGCATTAATGAGCAGATTTCATATGCTTTAAGTTTGTTTTGTTCTTAAGTTAAAACTCATTAGTGTGAATATGCATTAAAGAGAAATAAAATTATTTTGATTTATAATTGCATCCATGACAGGCATGACTAACATATTTTCTTTTATAAAGAGAGGCTACTCCAATAAGAAACCAATATCATGATGTAAATGACTATTGTTGATATTTCTTCGGCTGGCATGCATCAAATGGCATGAAATGGCAGAATGAGAATCTGATGCAAACGCACCTAAAGCTTTGTGAGTCTGCCATGCTTCTCTTGATGTGGATCTTGGGCGTAGCGTACCACGAGGGGCTGTTTGGACCATCCAAATGTTGTCCAACATGTTACATGCAGCCCACGCATTGGGCTTTCAGGCTAATGTGAGTATGAAAACGCAAACTTACTTACCATTAGCTTGTGAGGTCTCCAGCTGGTAGTAGTAAAGACCTTGGATCCATTCCCCCCTTCACCAGGATTTAGGGGTTGAGATTTTCCCCAAGGCAATTTTATGAGATGTAATACACAAGGATTAACTGATTAAGTATCGGGTGTGTGTAGCCATATAGGGTACACTGCCTTATGGTCTGTTCTCTCAAAAAGGAAAGAAAAAAAAAAGAATTGTCAGTGCACCCAAGTCAGTTTGGATACATCGATACATCATTTTTTTAAAACATTTTAAACAACTCAACCCTCTATCTAAACCTCCAATGATTATAAAATGAAAAAAAAAGTAAAAATTTTAATAAGTGAATATTGGTCATATTGATATGCACATATGTTATTCCTTGGTGGTGCATGAATACAGTGCAAAACTAAGATACATAAATATGTTAAGAAAACACACATAAATCTTAAAATACATAATGCAAATTTTAAGGCTCAAATAGATATGGATACATTATAAAACGTATGAAACACATACTCAAATTATGTAAATCAGTGTGTGCTTAGATTGGACCAAGGTTCAAAGTATCGACACTAGCCGATACGTTGGTAGGTGTATTGGCCTGTGTTGGTGCTTTTTTTTAGTTTTACTTGTTTTTTTAATTTTTTTTTTTTGAAATCAGTTCAGAGGGGTCAATTTAAGGCCCGGTTACTCTTTGAACCAGTGGCTGACCCGATACAACTCCTGTAGGGGTGTATTGGGAAGCCACCGGCATGATACGTATCGGCCAATACGTATCGATACTTTGAACTTTGGATTGGACACCAAAAGATTTATCACTGTAACTTCGGTTGTTATCCTGGTTCATAATATGGGAGAGAATGAGGAGGATGCTGCCATAGAATTAGAGCATGTGAATAGAATATTAGAATATCATCCAGTTTAAGGAAAATTTTATAAAACGGGTTTAGGGCCATTAATGTGGTTTAAGAAACAACATATAAAAAATAACGGTGGAAGAAATGCAAACACGAAGATGAATGAGTGTGAAAGCTAAGAAGGATAGAATTAAAAAAGAACTTAAAAGGAATATAGTGATAACTCCGATGGGTGATAAAATGAAGGAATCATATTAACATAGTTCAGTCATGTGAAAAAGGATAACTTTAGATGGTCGGAAGAGTTAGGAGAAAACTAAGGACATGGATTGTAGTGGTGAGAGATGATATAGGGGATCATAATTTAGCAATGGATGTGACATTAAAGAGAACAAAATTTATGTTGCTAGAAAAGTTGATGAATGGTTGGAAAAGTGGTGGCATCAAGATTGTAGTGGACAGTTATTCAAAGAGATTGAAGTGGATAGTCGTTCACATGATTGGTTGAAGGTAATTTAGGCTCTCTAGGGTTTTTATCAAACATAGCTTATAAGTTGTTCATTAGACCCCACATTTTTTTTTGATAGATCGGAAGATGCTACACAAGATGAGGGTAGCAAGTCCCCAAACATCACAAAAATAGATAAAATTTAGAGGCCACGGCAAACAATTCGAACTAACTCAATCACCAAATATAGCATTACAAGCCAGCCAATTAGCAGCTTGGTTAGCTTCACGATATACATGACGAGATGTGATACCTGAATTTAAGCAAGAACAAACTTGATGACACTCCTCAATGATATTCTTTAATCTCCAAGGCAGATCAACAGTGACATCGAACTTTAAGTAGCCTTCGAGGATGATATGAGAGTTGTTAAAGTTGATGGCGATGTTGAGAGCTTCCCATGCAGGCCAAGCTTCAGCTAGATTAATTGTAAAGAAACCAATACTATGGGCTTTAAGGTCAAGGACTCTACCAAGGTGGTCCCTAGCAATATACGCAATGGAGCACCATCCCTCAACATTATAGGAGGCATCAAAGTTAATCTTGATAGATCCAATCCTTGGATTAGACCAAACAATAGGATTCCAAGCTTTATGAGTTTTCATTAGTCATCACTTTCAAAACTAGATTAAATCTCCAAAAAATATTGGAGTGCGTTGTCAAGGAGAATAGGAGGGTGGATCTATTATTAAAAAAAATTTCTTATTCCTATTTTTCCAAATAAACCAACAAAAACAACACATTTTTCTTTCGCAAGGGGGTCTCGGTTTAAGCTATTTGCTCCGGATATCTAACTCCACCAGTCCATGACCAAAGAATCTTTTGATGGCTTAGGAAGGTTAGGCTCCAAAGTTAATTAACCATATTTTCTTAGCGTAATCATAGTTTATAAATGTATGATTAATTGGCAACAATCCCCATCAATATTAAAGTCTTTGATAATCGGATTTGTTTTTTGTGAGCCCACTTCGAAAAGCTAGAGAAACCACTTCTCTTCAGCCCTCCCAAATAGGCACAATGGCTTCTCCAATGCAAGATCAACCAAAGCTTAAGAGCTTGTTTGGGAGGGCTTCAACATTGAAAGAAGCTACCAAAATTAGCTTTATTAAACAATCTATTTCTAGCTCAATGTGAGTATTTTGTTTTTGTTTTTTTTTGGGTAAATGACAAAGACCCCCCTGTACTATGGGGTCTGTGACAAAGACCCCCCCTGTACTTTGTTTTGCAACAAAGACCCTCCTGTATTATGACCATGAGACAAAAACCCCCCTTGACGGTTAAGTCAGATGATGGAATGAGTTAAATTACCAAAATACCCCATTAAACTTTTTTTTATTTTCTTTTTTTGCCCATTTTCTCTTAAAACCTTTCTCCCCTGCAACACTTGCGGAGCCGGTGCCGGCATCATGTCTCGACCTGAAGACCCCATTGCCGCTGCTAATCCTTCCTTTGCCATCCACGAGTCCTGAAATAGTGGTAGCCACCAACCTGATCTCAAGGTCTTGCTTTCTCCACCACTTGGCAAGGGTAGATTCATCCAAAAACATATCCTTTAACTGCTTATTTTCTTCTACAAGTGAAATTAATTTCTCTAATTCCACCACCATGGGTTTCACTTCTTGAGGAGGTTCTCCTCTAGCAGTAGCAAGGCAAAGCTCCTCTACCTTGGCCCAGATACAGGACTCAGAATAGTCTCTTGCTACCTTCTTATCGGCATGCTCAAGCCATCTCTATGTGTACCTATAACGCTTTGGCCTAGCCCGTTTCATGTACACAGTAATGGAAAGAGAGATCTCTTGAGATTCTATGTCGTGGAATTGAAAGGAATAAGAGCAAGGCATCCCAGGAGGGTTTGGGATGGAGAAGGACTGCAGGCACACAGATTTTACATCTGAGTGGGGGTTGGGTTGTAGTAGTTGTAGGGTCCCTTTGCCCTTTGGATTCAATAGTCATCAAAAATCAAACTTCTCTAGGATCGACGAAGAGTCCTCTTGTAGTTGTGGTTGGGGTTTTTGTCCATCCCATTACAGTATGTTGATCTTCCTTTCTCAACGCTTTTATGCACCACAAGTCTTCAGAGCAGGATAATAATTTCCAATGTGGGATTTCTTCAAGTCTTACTGTGTCGCAACTCGCAATCCCCTACCTCCGTTACAGTTACTCTACAATCCTTACATTTAGTAGCCATGTTATGTACAAACCGGCATAATGCACTAACCAATTCGTCGGACCTCCAACCCTCTCCATGCATGCCATACATGAAATAGAAGCCAAAGAGGTGGAAGACATCCGGCGGGGTCGGTATCCTCAGGCAGCGGAAGATTTGATCCATCATTCTCGAGCTCTTCGAATAGATATGGCAAGAAAGAGGTGCTTTTCCTACCCTTAGCTTGAATATGCCTCTGTTGTTTCATACACTAGGGATGGAAATCGAGTATCGTAAGGTCGGAGAAGATGAACAATGTTTTTCTTGTCTAGTTATTACAAGGGTAGTATGAGGATTAAAAAATATTATAACGGCATTTTTGGATGGAAGGCTAACGGAAGGAGGTCTTTGTCTCACAGTTATAGTATAGGGGGTCTTTGTCACAGACCCCATATTACAGGGGGGTCTTTGTCATAGACCCCATAGTACAGGTGGGTCTTTGTAATTTACTTTTGGCCTTCCAGGTATTTGTAGGCCTCCCAAATGGACACTCAATCCTCCTAAACAAGCCCTTATGGAAAAAACAGCTTACGGACTTTGGCGAAAGGCCATCCCCAACAGGAACGGAGCCAAGGTGGTAGAACCATAGAGGGGAGCCATGCCCCCCATGCCTTAACAGTCCATTTGGTTGCTGAGAAGTGGATGGGATGGGAAGAATATTTAGGGAATATTCTAGTTTTCATGCATTTGTTTTGAGGAAAACATTGGGATGGAACAAGAAAGGTATGAGACACGGGTTCTCAAAATTCTTTATGCATTAAGAAGGGAAAGTGAGAAAACTTTGTTGAGAGCGGCAACTCCAAGCATCGCCTTCCTCTCATGCCGTCCAACAGTCTTCTCGCCGGCACCATCTTCGGCAACTTCTTTCGAAGGTAATCTCGGATTTGTAGTCCTCTCGCAATTTTCTTTCACTTTTATACCATTTTTATCTCCTTTCATTGAGTGAGAACCTTTCACAAAATTGTAGGAAGGAATGGCTGATGGGGATGATATATGGAGAGAATTAGGGAACACATTTGGATATATATGTTAAATTGGATTGTAGTAGTTTTTAAGTCAACCTATTTGAACTTGTCGTAGGAACCTCTTATAGTAGCATGGATAAGAACATGAATGGATTATTAGCTTTTTGTCTTCTTTTTATGTTTGAACATCATGTTAGTATTGATGGTTTAACTACATGTTACTGATGATGGTAGTTTTGTTTCTTACATGTGTATTACTACTATATTTTTCATGATGACTTGCATTGTTAATGAATCCTAGATATGTTTAGATACAAGTGTGATTATGCTTGATACTTTTTTAGTATGTTTTTTATACAAGCATGCAATTGGTTTTGGCATGAAGAACATACTCACCTCGATATGTTTTGGATTGTTAGTCAACCATAGAAGAACATCGTGACCTTGCACCTTACCTTCTACTACTGAAAGTGATCAACCTGATAGTACATCAGCTAAGTATGATGAAGAGAGCAGATTCGGCTCTGACTTTGATGAGAGTGATATTGATGTCTATTATAAGATGCCATCATACTTGCAGTGATGGGTGTGCGTAAGTATTATGTGAAATGGCACATGCACAAGATACCTTATAGGATGGTTCACAATGCATCTATAATGCTTTACATTGATTTATTTAGAATGGAGAGACGTTTTCTTAAAGTTCAGTTTGGAAGGGAGTGTAGAGTGTAAAACCTTATATTTTGTATGTATTATGTATTTACGCTGTACATACTTGCATTTGTGCTCTTTCCAAACTGAGCCTAAATATCTATCAAGAGCTAAGAGGAAGATGACTCCTGTGATATTGCTAATCAACTTCAGCATTCGGGAGAGACTATGTTTGCCATTTTAACCGAGTGTTGAAAGCTGTAGCTGAGTTGGCCAAGTATCACATAGGGCCACCTAAGTCAGATCTGCTCCAACCCCAAGTTTAACCCTTTCTTCAAAGTATCCATGAAGTTAGCTCCTTGGTTATTTTTTCTATTATTTATCAAAACCATATATGCAAGGTGTAGGTGTATTTATTCAAACCATTTTGTGTCAAAATGCTGAACTGCATTGGTGCAATAGATGGAACCTATATAAATGCAAGCAAATCCTATAGTGTGGTAGGAATTCTACCACCATACAAATTGTATAATACGTGCATTCTTGTTTAACATGAAATTTACATTTGTATATAAGCAAATCCTTTAGAATTTTTCTTGATGTTGTTCAAGACCCATCTATTGCTTTCCCTCGACCACTTGTAGGTATGACTTGTTGTATTGTGTTTTGAACCAACACTATTTTATGTTTTCGATCTCATGAGCAAGTCATCAAATCATGTAGGTAAGTACTATGTTGTGGATTCGGGTTAAAAAAACTTAAAACATAAAATGACAAAAACCATTTTTCGGGTCAAACTTATTGATGGTTCAACCACTTGGATCAGTGGGTTATTGATCAAATCAATAGTTTTTTGACAAAAAACAATTCAAGGGTGTACCCTTCGAACCGGATCCGTTGTCTGGGCCAAACGGACAGTGACTACCAACTGTTGCGTTTAAATACAAAAAAAAAAAAGGGCAGTGGCCCATAGCTGATTTGGGCCCCTGAGTTTTTAATCTAACATTAGCTTATATAATATTCACGTGGAGCCCACCTCTAAGAGTCATAAGCTGCTGCCGCGCTTCTATCTCACAAAAGCGGCCCTACACAGAATGGTAACAAAATTTTGGATAGCCTAAATTGGCTGTCAGTACAGTCATGAATTTTTGGGCTGTCCCCTTGAGCCTCCTTAGATAATCTTTTCGGAGCAAAAGCAGCTGAACCCTTACCGCCGCGGCTGTGGGGCGGGAGATTCACATGCACCCTAAAGCAGCTGAACCCTCAGCTTATTGAATTTTAAACTCAACCCTCCCAAACGGGTTAACCTGTACTGCAGATATTCCCGATGTATGGCCGGATTCCAGGAGATCCGGGCTCATCAAACGGGCTTAACGGGCCCGTGAAAGATAGAGTTGCATAAATAAACTCCTTTTGATTTCTGATCTCTATTTTAGTAGGGCCCAGCCAAAAGAATTCAACGGTTCAGATCAATTGACTGTGGGTCTTCTTGCAGCCATGACTAGTGCACCCGGCGGCACAACCATGCTCCTACTTGCTTTCAGAACTCTAAACCCTTCAATACAAGACACAGGGTTTTGTTTTTGTGTCTCTAAAACCGAAATGAAGGATCACTGATCAACTGAAGCTTGAAGACCCTCTCTTGCCCATCTTCTCTTCCTGCTTCGTTTCTCTTTTCTTCGGTCATGAAGTTCATACAAGCCATTTCTGGTATTTCTCTATCAACCCATCTCGTTTCCATTCGAGGCAGAACTTGCCATTCAGTTCCAGCTTTCATGTTTTTGATCTCTTCATGCTAATCTCTCCTCAGGGCACCGCCGAGCGTTGGTACGAGTTCTGGGTCTCCGCCCCTTCGCTACTACGACTGAAGAATATGCCAAGAGAAATTACGCCAACAATGTTTCAGAGTATAATACCGTTGTGGGTTCTCTCACTGCTCAGCGAAGGTCACGCGCATTCACTTGCTCTTATTTGCTCCTATTCTCTTCTTCTTCTTCTTCTTCTTCAACCTCTTTGTTCCTGCCTTTCTGGGTTTTAAACATTTCTATTCGATCTTCATGTTGTTTTGGTTTAGGCATTACTTGCTCAGAGATGTCTATGACGACATGATGCTCGATGGAATCCAACCCACAAGAGATACATTCCATTCTCTGATTGTCGGGACAATGAAGGGAGCTCGCTTGCAAGATGCTTTCTTTTTCAGAGACGAGATGAAGGCGATGGGTCTGTTGCCCGATGTAAGTATTAATCTTCAATTGATATTGTATTAACAATCAATTCAGATGTGCTATAGTATGCAGAGTAATCATATTTCCCAATTGTTTTCTGGTAAATTGAATTGGTGACAGTTTGGAGCTTAAATTTAAGTATCCCTAAAAAATTAGTGTTTGAAGTATTATCTACAGCCTTTGATTTGTATCTCGGCACCAACTATCTGTAAGAGGTGGTCATTCTCTTTGTTGACAAAATTTGTATAGATTGAGCATGGGTGGGGCAAGGGCAACTGGCCTTGAACCTGTAGAACTCGTCATGTATAACTGAAGCGTGGGTTGGACTATCCAGAATTTTTACTTGCTAGAAACATGTAAGGTTCTTCACGATGCTGGTCCTGTCTATCCGTGTAATTTCAATCATAACATGAAGACTATTAGCCAATTCTGGTCCTGGCTATCAATGATTATGGGAGAGGTGGACTGGATACAGACCTGACCTCTGCTGTTTTTTGAACAAAGTGGTCACTCTCAGACTCAAGTCCTCATCCTGAGATTTTACCTTAACACACAATTTTAGTCATAAGTGTGTAGCTAAAATTGTAAATCCTCAGGAGCAGGTGGCTTTTGGTAAAAGTTTGATTCTTGCAGAAGGGTGGTCAATTAAGTCAAACTCATAGATAACACCTGGGAAGTAAGCATGTGGGAGTAAGATATGCCTCATTTTTCTCTTTTTAGACCAGTGAAAGTGTTAAATCCTGATTGTAACTACTATCCTTTACGTTTGTGATGATAAATTTAATCCTTTCTGAAATTCCTCATGAACTTTTTTCTAAAGTTATTGATGCTTTTCTGTTCCACTTTGAGTATTTCTTTGTATCTAAACTTTATGTGTTTTTCAGTACATGACCACAATGACGGTTAGTATTTATGTTGTAGGTTGCTTTGTACAATTTCTTGATTTCAACCTGTGGAAAATGCAAGAATTCTGACCCTGCAATCCATGTGAGTGTACTTTAGGTTTTATTCATATGCCATTTTATTTTACCTCTTTTTTTACTGTTTAATGCTTGAAATCCCAAATATTTTTGAGTATTTTGGTGTTTTTAATTTGTTTTTAAACTCTGTGTTGAAGATTTTGGAAGAGATGAAGAAAAATGAGGTGAAACCAAATGGGCAAACATACATTTGTCTACTCAATGCGTGTGCAGCAGCTGGCCGACTAGATCAAGTGTATGCTATTTTTTCATGGCTAAACACACTCTTTTGATTGTGGATGTCAGATTTGGTGACTCACTAACTACATAGTACATTGTCACCAATCAAATAAAAAAACTACATAGTACATGACTCCTAGTGGATATTGACCCATGAAATGCACTAATTCCCAACCTACCCACCATCCACTGCCCAGGTGACTTGTGTAGTCTTCAGATAAAGAATTGTTACCTCTAAATCACCAAAATTTATTTGATAAATATCATAGATTGACCAAGGTAGCATCTTTAAAGCTTCATATGATGTAGTCTTTTACTTTTACAGTTATATTGGTCATACTTGGAAGCAAAATAAGTTCTATCCTTGTTCTTAGTTTCACTGATAGTGAAGTGCCATGAAGAAGAATTCAGGGTGTATCACCTTATTCCAACTAATGGACCTAAAAAAGGAGGCTGGTTTTCCTATTTTTCTGTTGTTATGTCAAGCTGAAAGTTTTGATTAATATATTCATTTGAATGCCCTTATGAACTAGTTGGTTCTTGTAACTAGGTGATGATTTGTCAACCATCAGATTGTACTAACGCCCTTACCAACTAGTTGGTTCTTTCAATTTCCAGGTATGCAATTGTCCGTGATATGACTGCAGCTGGTCTTGGTTTGAACAAGTTTTGCTATGCCGGATTAATAGCTGCACATAGGAACAAGACACCTATAACAGATGATACACCTAAAAAGGTACTTTGGCATTTATTGTTAGTTGTCCTACTTAATGTGTCTTACATTCAATTGTTAGAAGTATTTGTTCTGTCTAACATTTTTTTTTTTTTTTGCCTTCATGCAAAAGATAATTGAGCTTGTTGAGCAGTCGAAAGGCTGGTCATCAGTTGAAGCTTCAAGTGATATTGCAGAAAATGTGATGATGGGAGTTTCTGAAGAAGAGCTTTATAACACCTCAACTGCTGAATATGTTCACAGGCGTGGATTCCTTAATAGGCAATTGACGGTTTATCATGTTGCATTTCATGCTTGTGCAGAACTTAAGAGTACAGAGGTATTGATTTGCACAATGATATTTTTAATCTTTAACCTAGGCTCATATGGAATTTTGACATACAAAAAAACCATTCATCTACGTTTGATTGTTTATTCCTGTTCTGGTAGTGTCACAGTAATCTTCTGGTTTCATGTATAGACAGATGCACTTATTTGTATAGATGATGAGATGATGTGAAATCCTGTATTATTTTCATATAATTTTGTACATGAAAACATTACTGACCTTAAAGTGTAACAACTTCAAATGGGAGCGCTACCTTTGTTCAGTAGGTAAAATAGTGTATAATATAGTTAATAACTTCTGCCACCATTTTGGGTATTTAATGAGAAAGTTGTTGTTCTGAGCCTGCTCTATGGTTTGTGAAGTGAAGCTGAAAGAATGCTTGGCTTTCCACTGGTTATGGTCATTTTGTATGGTTCATGCAAACTCACCATTATTGAGTAATTTAGGGATTTCTATGCATATCAAGAGGTTTTCTTTTATGAATTTCATAGTATCAATTATATGTACAGAAACTCTTTCTACAAAACCATTTTGTATGCACTTTTTTGATACTTAATACAATTATACTTTACTTTAAAAAGTTTCAAAGTGTCAATAATGATATGTAAACATTGACAAAAATGATGTTTGGGCAACCTTTGTACATTCATAGCACCCAAGCTCCCTCATTGTTATGGTACAATTCTCTCATGTGTACTTAATAGACGGATAATTGAGAAAAGAAACAAAAAAAGACAAAAGTGTTACATCTATTCTGGTTGCAAGTGCTCATTCACACAATATGCTTTGGTGCAACACATCTATACAATACAAAGCCGATACCTGCCTTGGTTTCTGTGCAAGCCACAAAAAGTTAATTCATACAAGTTGTTTGTTTTTACCCTTCAATCTTACACAAGCGCATAACATGTGAACACTAGTGCAATGAAAGAAAAGAACAAAATAGAAGTTTTTAATGAAATGGCATCCTGAAATAAATGGGGAAAATTCTTTTGTTGAAATTTGATGTTTCATGGCTATGATTGTTGAATACTTAGGAATATTTCTTGTTATATCAAATAAGTCTCTTTTTTCCTGTGGTGTTTCTATCCACACTAACTTTAACCTTTGTTCATAATTGTAGGCATTGGAAACACTTTTAGAGATGCTTAAGAAGGATAATAAAACTCCAGATGTCTTCATTGTGATACAAACTATGAGGTAATTGATTTAGTTACAGATTTCATAGTATTCAATAAATTATATGCATGGAATTGTATTGGATGAGTGTAAAATCCTTGTAATTTTAGGTCTTTCTGTTGTATTGTTGCGACCATGGTTTTCCTTGCTTTATTTATCTATTTTTGGACTTGATGCTGAAGAGTTTTCTTCTATGATTTGATATTGAAGAATGAAGATATCATGAGTTTTTTTTTTTTTTTTTTCTTTTGATCAATAACTGTGAAATGTATTAATTAAGATTAAGAAATTTACAAAGCAAGGGGGCTAAACAATCTTAGCTCCCTAGAACAATCATTGAACACCAAAATACAATTACAATACGGCCCAAAATATAGAGTTTCTGTTCACCCCTTGCCTAGCTAGACCATCTGCCAGTGAGTTTGCACTTCTCTTTATCCATTTGTACTGAATTTCAATATCTTTAGTCAGTCACTTAAATTTTCTCTTTTCATTGCTGTAATTCCATATCCTAGAGTTATCCTCTTTTAACCAGTTCACCACAACTTCAGAGTCTCCTTATATGATCAGATTACTAAATTGCATCTCCTTGATTCTTTGTACCCCTTCAAGAGCTGCAAGTATCTCACCCCTCAAGGAATCTCCTTCCCCTATTGGTCCAGAAAACATAGCTAACAGACTCCCATGTTCATCTCTTATTGCTCCCCCTATTCCGGATGGCCCTGGATTATCTGCTGCCATCAAAATTCAGTTTAATAAAGCCATGAGGTGGAGGAATCCAATAAGAGTTTGATGCCTTCTTAGCTGAAGCTAATTCTGCAATCTCTTTCCAGTTTTTTAGCATCTCATCTACTGAGAATTCTGCAAACAATGCCAAAGTTTTCAGCCAATGTATCACCCTAATATGGATGATCTCTAATATTATTTCCAAGCTTCTCTCCTTTTCTGAGAAGATCCATGAGTTTCTCTCCTCCCAAACAGTCCAACAAACTGCAACCCTCATACATCTCCACATAATCTTGGCCCTTTTTGTTGGCCAACTCGGCATGGAACTGAATAAACTTTGCACATTCAAGGGGGTGGTCCACCTTCACCCAAACAAAGAAGTACACCATTCCTAAATGACTTTAGTAAACCGACAGGCAATTAGTAAATGGTATTTACACTCACCATCAGCTTTACAGAGAGCACACCAGTGAGGACACAAACAACTATTGGGTCTTTTTCTTTGAAGTAGATATCACGAGTTATTCTGTCATAAACCATTGTTGTAGGGGTGGCAATTCCTGACCCAATCCATGTAACTCCCCACCCCCACCCCATTCATTACTTGGCCAACTGGCCAAATCCGCCTATTTAGGGAGTGTTCTGTATTGTGGATGAGAAATTGCATGGTGTGGATTAATCCACTGGACCCCCCTTTGGTGTTGTTGAAACCACACCACACTTTTGTAAGCATCCTGTACCGTGGTGTGGATGGGGATGCCTTGTCAGCAAAAAAATCTTGGTCACTTATGGCAAAACTTTATAAGAATGTTTGGATATATTGTGTTGTGGACTGACCCACAATATTTACATGTGGATGAGAAATTGCAAGATAGTGTGGACCGATCACTGTATTACTGTGGATTGGTCCATGTTACTGTGGGTTGAATCATCCACTAGATAGACCTAATGAGTTGTGTTGTGGGTACTTATTCAACCTAGAAATAGAACCACTTCCCTATCCTAGTGGTGGGTCAATGGTTAAACTGTTTGGGTCAAATGAGCTAACCGGGGATGCCACAATTAAATAACAAAAATACAAAAATAAACAAATAAAAAATACAGAAAATTTGGTCAACCCACCATAGTCATTCTACATCATTTGGTATTGGAGCCGTCATCCTACATTAGCAGGTAGTTTTGAGTAATGCATTGGCTTTCTTATTTATCAAAAGAAAAAAAAATGCATTGGCTTTCTTGTGTCATGTAGGACGAATAGATAAGATCCCAAATAAACCTTCTAGACTTCATCATCATCTAAGCCTTGTCCTAGCTATATGAGGCATGAATCCTGTTTAGCCATTCCATTCTGTTCAATGCCACATTCATCATTAAATTATGAGCGTGTAAATCATTTCTTACTACATCCATCCAAGTCCTTTTTACTTTCTTCCCCTAGCTCTTCTATACTCTTCAGCTGTAACAGATCACTTCTAACAGGTGTGGTCAATAAACCTTCTAGACTACTAGTTTGGAATTGCTGTGAGTTCGTGGTATGAAAACCTTAGTTTTGGAAGATGTGAAACATGATCAGGAGTTTCTCTCATCTTTTACTGTGTTTACTGCTACCTGGTGCTACTGTTCTTACAAACCGATTTCAGTTACATTATAGCCCCGATTTCAGCAACATTGTTTGCAGCTCTATGCGTCCAAACCACTCTTATTTCTCTAGCCAATTGCTTTGCTTATCTCAAGGTATGTTGATGTTGCCATGTGCATTGAGTATTATAATTTTAGAGTCTCCTTGAACCACTATATTTACCAGGTTTAACCTCTTGCAGATCTTTAAACCTTGTAGTACAGCTTGCAATTCAAATTTGAATCTGATTCATTTAGGCTATGGTTTGAAAGAAAAGGTAAGGAAGGGAAAGGTAGGGAAACCTATACAAGATTTGTAAAGGTTTCCTTATCTTTCCCTTCCTTTCCCTACTTTTTCCTTCAAACCAAACACAGCCTTAATGATGATTGGAATTTGATCTGTTTATAACTAGATAGAATACAGATCCATTCCTTTCTAATCCAGTATGACCCAATATGCTTATATCTACAATTCTACATGAAAAATTATATTGCATCTTTTAGTAATGTTGATTTGAATGTTGTCTGTTTATTAAAGACTTCAAGTCTCATAGAAGTTATTCTCAATTTTTATTCATGCAATACATTATCAGCCATTTTTAGTTCATTGAAATGCCTTAATGCCCATAAAAATGTATTAGTAATATATAAAATTTTGATCATTTTTAGCTTAATTTGTTAATGAAATTTAATATCTGAAATCAATCCGACTTAAATTCCAGATCCATTTCTAAATCCCATGGATAAGATTTGATTGGATCATTGAAATCTGGATATTAATTAATCATATTTGGATCTAGGTATATGGCTTCTGACTACAAACTGTACATCTTTTGCCATAGAAAATGAATACTTAACATTTTATCAGAAATATTTTGATCAATGTTCAGAGAACCGGACCAGACAGAACTGGAGAAGGGGGAGGTTCATGGGTCAAAGGTTCAACCGGGGTCGAACCATGATGACATGGCATTACATATATATATATACTATAGGTCATATAAATACTATATATAATATATTTTACAACTTTTAATATACCTAAGATGGTGTATGGATGGCAAGTTCATTAATTTTTAAAGCAAATGACTAGGGTTCAAGTCTCTTAATTTACATTTTCTTTAAAATACATGCATAATAAAATAATATGTACAATAAAGAGTCATTAATTTAAACAAGTTAATAGGTGGACTAATGGTAATTAAGTAATGAATGAAAGTAAGAGGTCATGGGTTCAAATCTTATTAAACGCATTTTAAATTTTCAATTGGTGAAGGATAGGAGGTGCTCATGGTTTATTTTTGGAACTAAACTGGTATCATCGGTTTTTGGAAAACCAGTAACCGAAACCGAATTGAAGCCGATCGGTTAACTGGTTTGGTTTTTTTATATTTACACTATATTATAAAAAATATATAATGATATAATAAAAAATCAAATATATATAATATTATATTTTAAATAATAAATAATATATTATATATTATAAATATATATATTATAGAATGCATATTTATTAATTTATAATATATAGAAAATATAAAATATATATAAAAAACATATAATATACATAAATATACCTAAAATATATATAAAATCATTATTTTTTGTGTGAGAATTAAGAATTTAAGACCCATACATGGACTTGTTTGGGCTTGCCTTGAGGGGCATGGCACAAAGTCGACTCGTAGAATCAAGAATGTAATATGCTTTACATCACATTAGCTACTTGAAGTAATGCAATTGAGGAAAAAAAAAGATCGTGGCCTTTGCATGCTTTAAAATGTTTTATATGTTTGATTTTATTTTAAATTTTCATTTGAATATGCTTTACATGTTATGTTTATGTATTTTAATTTTAGAAAATAGGTTTTTTAAACCATTAATTTTAAAATTTAAGTTTATATTCCTTATTAATATTATGTTTACTATTTTTTATTTTTGCATTTTTTGAATTTTCTGACTTTTAAATTTTTTTTTAGCATTTTTTTGTATTTTTGCACCTTGCTTCAAAAAGGCGCGCACCTCGCCTTGCGTCTCTCACCTCGGGTGCAAATTGGCCCTTGTGCCTTTTTGTGCCTTGTGCTTTTAAAACACTGATTGAGACCAGTTCACCGGTTTTCTGGTTAAACTGGTTGGTCAGCCGGTTTTGACCGGTTTTTTAATGAAAGCGGTTATTGGGGTAAGACCGAACTGGCCAAGCTCCTCGGTCACGGTTCAACCAGTCTGACCATCTGGTCCGGTCCGGTTTTCTAAACACTGATTTTGATCCAGGTATATCCAATTTGATTCAATCTGTTTGCAGCCCTAAGAAAGGTTAAAAGTAATTCTGTTTAATCTAATCCATTTAGATCTAGGTATTGATTCATAGTTCCTTCTCTTTTGACTCAAAACCATAATATGAATTTTCAATTTGTTATTTTGTTTATTTATAACAAACCATAGTCCCTTATCCTTGATTCCATTTGATCTGCCCTCTTTACCTTGCACTAGATGTTCTTTTATCAATCTATTAGGCTGTATTTGATTGCAGTGCAAATTTATTTGCACTAGTACAAATGCATGGGAGTGCAAATGTAAAAAATGCAAATTCTTGTTTAATTTTGTTTTGGATTTTACTTTATTCTGCTTTATGCCTTAATTTACTTCATTTGCCCTGCAATCAAAGAAAGTAAGCTAAAATTTGAAACAAAAATAGGTCAGAATTTACACTCAAATCATTTGCACTGTCATGATTTTGCATCAGTGCAAATTTATTTGCATTGCAACCAAACACAGCCTTAGCAGTAGTTCAGCCCTGTTCAATCTGTTGTTATATTTCCTATATAATTTTTATCAAAGCCATACTGAACTTTCAGAATTCAAGCACATAATCAGTAGAAATAGTGAGAAAACAGAAATTGCAAGATGGTTGTTTGGGTAGTCAGTAGTCTGAACTATTAAACTTAGCATTTACAATTATGTAAAATTTCTGGGGTTGTCTGAACTACCCCTACGAAGAGGTTAAACAGAAGTAGGTTGGTATATGTTAACCTGTAACATAGCCTATCCTAATATGGCATACAATTAGGCTTTAGCTAAACTTTTTTGAGACTTCAATATTTTGGGGCAACTTTTTCTAATGTTACATTCATATCAATCAAGGTTCAAAGTATTGACACTTTAATACGATTAAGTTGTGTATTGAGAGTTTGGAACCATTGAAACTCTCACCTCTATATATTGTTTTGTTTTGAAAATTTTAATACACATACTGTGGACTGTTTATTCATAATTGAAACATTGTAAAAGTCGAAAGTCTTGAGATAATGCTTATCATTGACCCTTAAAATCTATACGTATTGTATGGTATGCACCAATAATTATCAATACATTGAACCTTGATATCAATGACAATGCTTCAGTTGGGACTTGGGAGAATTGTTTTTTGAGCACATGTTATTTTCAATAGTTATACTCACTGCTCATTCTACTCTTCACTTCTGCAGTCAAAGAAACTGGTCATATTCTATCTAGATTTGTTGCTTTATCATAATCCCATGGTGTCATGACAACTTTGATAGTTTATATTAGCAAGTTGCTGTTGTGGTCAAGACATGTAAGATGGCCATTCATTTGTCCGCCTTGGTGGTGTGCTGAGCATTGCAAGAATCTGAAGCCGATGTTCTGTAAATTTATCTTTAACAATATTACTAGACTGCATTTTGTGCCGGCCTTTCCTTGCTACCAGCTATAGTTCTCTTGTCGGTTTTACTGTTTGTAACATTATTTTCTGGCTTCCCTGGTTTTTCTTTCTTGGTGTGTAAATTTGGTGATCTGGATGTTGGAACTAGCTGGCTTTTTCTACTGGTTAATTACCATTCAAACAGGTGCTATCTTCATTCTGGGGACATTGACCGTGGGGTGAAGACTTTTGATGATTACCTAAGTTCAGGAAAGCCACCTGCAGTGGAATTATTTGCTGTAAGTTGTGATAATTTCAAATTGAAGCTAGTGCTTCTTTCTTGGCCTGTGAATTTGTTGGTTTGGGTTCAATTGGACTTATCACGTCTGGCACAAGAAGCCCTGATTATAACCTATAATTTAGACCAATGTGATAATCCTCCTGTACATATATACATTATGCAGGTAATAAGCTTGCTTATTTTATTTTATTGTGTAACATACAGATGTTCTTGTTAAAAATCATTAACTAACCTACCGATTTCATCTTTACATTACATGTTATGTTTACATAACTAAAGATAAACCAGAAGACTTCCAAATCTGGTTGACAGTTACATTTGACAAGACCAAGGCATCTTTGTCTTACATACATAGACACACATATTTCCATTCAGTTTGGGTCCTTATTGGGCTGAATTTAGATAGACCTGGGACCTGTCCCAGGCCAACTAAAATGTGAATATGAGGTCTATCAACATTCCCTTTGGTAGGCCTACTTGGTTAGTTGGTTCAGAAGGTTTACAGGCCATTCTGCTTAATACAGTCCTAGATGCTCCAGTTATTCTGTTCATCTTTCTGATTTCACAGATCTGAACAGGGAAGATCTTGGTGAGAATATGTGTTCTTGATGCAGAAGCAAATCCAAATCTTTAAAGTTTTAAACTTTGAAACAATTATCAAAAAAAAAAAAGTTTTAAACTTTGAAACGTATTTCTGTATTGTCATAAAGATTGGTCTGATTGTAGTGTTAATGATGCTGATGAAAGGCACTTCACCCGAAATCAATGTTTTGGCCTCTCCTGTTTATGCAATGACTAGTCGGTTCCTAGGCGCTGACCAGACTAGTTGATAAAAAAAAAGATATGTTCTAAATTTAAGATATTGATACAATCTCATAATTAAGTTAATATAGACTAAATTTATGCAAGAAAAGAATGGAATTGAACTGTAGTTTTCAAGGCGCCAAGGCGAGGCTAGGCGACCATGGGGCGCCCAGGTGCCTAGCCCTCGCCTAGGCAATGGAAATTAAAAATAAGAAGCCGATGGATTTCTACCCCTTCTGAACTAATTTTTTTGGTTTTATGTACTCTGCACTTACTTTTGTGCTTGTGTTTCTTGCAGTGTTGCTTGATGAGAACAATTACTAAAATAAAAGAAGAAAATGAAGAAAAGTAAGGGGCGGAGCCCCTGTTCTAGACCCAGAAGAGAAGGTGAAAATATTAAAATAAAAGAAAAAATATGAAGAATAAATCAAGGGGCTCTGTTCCTGTTTCAGACACCAATGATGAGAACAAAAAAAGGGCTGAAAAATGCAAGAAGCTAAGATCAAAAGAAGGGTGCGGAGACCCTGTTCTAGGAAAAGCTGGTGAAAAAACAACTAAAATAAAAGAAGAATATGAAGAATTTCAGACACCAATAATGAGGGAAAAAGAGCTGAAAACACACAAGAAATTTAAGAACAAAAGAAGGGGGTGGAGCCCCTGTTTTAGTCCAATAATATGATTCAAGCCAGGAAAGAAGAATGGTTTTAGTCCATCAAAAAGGAAGAGGAGAACAATAGGGCGTAACCACTGTTTTAAACCAGTGGAAAAAGAGAACAAAACGAAGGAGAAAACTGATTAACTCACCTTGACTTAGAGGATTGTGTCGGAACGATGGAGGGCTGTTGTTCTCTCCTCTTCCTCATTCAATTCTTTTGTCAAAGTGAAACCCTTGAGATTATTTTGTTTTTACTTTCCTCGTAACAAAAACATGATAACATACAACATGTCCTATTATAAAAACTAAAACCAACCAATAAAATATTATATATTTTATATTTATTTTTATTTAATAAATATTGTATACTATATACGTGTTTCAGTCCCCTCAGCATGTGCCTAACACATTTTTTCTTGGCGTTTGGGCAAGGCACTCCTTGAAAAGCGCCTAGTCGCCTAGGCGTCACCTTGACAACTATGAATTGAACATTTATGAAATTTCATTTTTTGTGGCAGCTCCATACCAACATACCATTAGTTGGAACCTGGAAGATAACTTGAAACTTGAAAGAACTCCACTTCCTTCTTTTATTTTATGCGTTTTTCTATTCTATATACCATCATCTTATCATATTTCATTTTTTGTCAATTACTGAAACTTTCATTAATTAAAGAAATAAGAGGAATACAATACGCTTGGAAATATAATAGCTTATCTCCAAGATCAAGAATTACAAATGAGCCCAAAAAAATTGATATCTCCCAACCCCTTGATTTGCCAAAGCATCAGCCATGCTGTCAGCCGTCCTTTGGACCCAATGGATTCTCAGCTTTTGCACACGTAATTCCCTTGCTTTGCCAACCCTTTCCACAACTGCCAATACTTCAACCTCAAAAATCTAATTTAAAACAACAGCATGAACATAACAAAATGCAAGCATATATGACTTGCATTTTAACTATTTTTTCACCTTATTTATGGCTTATCACAATACAAGTCAAAAGATAAATGCTAATCTTGAATTTGCCTGGCTGTAGACACTAGTGGATGGAGCCATGGTTGGATATACTCCAAGAGGGATGCAACTTGCACAGGACACTCTGGTATAATTGATTCTTTTGATAGTTGGTCTAGATAGGTTGCTTGATATTAGGACAATTTTCATATTGCCATATTTTGTCATACAGGAAAAAATGAACTCCAGAGGCTTTTTCTTGAACACAAAGATAGGAAATGAACTACTCCTTGCAGCCTCAGGAGAAAAGGTGGGACAAATGATTTTTCTTTATTTACTGGATATCCTTTATAAAGCCATATTATTACCATATTTTCCTTTCTTTTCCTGTCAATAAATGTAATGGATTGCCTTTGTTCAATTATATGATTAAGGTTTTAATAATTTTGTGCAGACGGGTGGATATACTACAGCCAATTACATTTGGGACTTGATGCAAACTCGAAAAATCAATGTCTCTCTTCCTGCTGTTGAAGCCTATTACAATGGTTTAAAGGCAAGCATCCTTCTCATTTCAGCTAACCAGGATCTAATGCTTTGTCAAAAGGATATGTTTCAATAATGTGCCTGCTTTGTGTAAGGATTTTTTAAGTTCTCTCAAGTTGGTTACTGGTCACTTAAAAATTAGAAATATAAAAAAGTCTTGTTGAATATAAAAAAGAAAGAACAAATGAATGTTTTCTGAATTGATAAAAATGTTGATGTTTAGTAAATAGTGCCCAAATCCATGAACAGAAAAAACCAAGTTTTCTTCTATTCATCTCTAGGCTCCTTACCATTGCCTAAGGAGCAAGAAAATAACCAAAAAGAAAAAAAAAAGAAAAATCTCATTTGCACTCTAGGGAAAAAAAAAAACAGCACTGGATTCCTCAATTGAAGATCCCAATTTGAATTCCCAAATGTGCAACTTGTATGTAGAAATGAAAAGAACAGTAACGTATAAGAAAAGCTTAAATAGACCAGTAAAGTATGAAATTAAACTAGACTCCCCAGTTTGCAGTTTAACTACAAGTTCTTTGAGCACCTTAGTGATATTATCTGCCACACCGAACAACTAGTGACTGAAGCAAATAATGGCTTAGTGTTACTGGTTATGGTCATTACACTTTTCTCTGAGCCAATGTCTCGACCACATAAACAACTCCTGATTGCAAAGAAGAAGCAAACAGTAACATGAATTCTATTGAAGAAATGCCTTCCATGGCCTTCCACATACCAGCATGAGTGCAAGCCTCATAGAATACCTATTTACTGGGGGACCAATACATCCATTATTCCATGCGAGGCCAAGGCTGCCAGATCCAATCTGGTTGAGGAGATTGTAGGGCTGGCTGTCAATGGGTCAGGTCTGGTTTGGGACAGCCTGTAGCAATCCCAAACCAATTATTTAATCGGAATAATTGGGTCTGACCTGATTAGACCTGATTATACTAACATATATATTTTTTTTTTGTAAATAACTAAATACAATTTAAAACTTGATTTTTGATAATATAACCTTAATAAAACTGACAGTAAAATAGTAAATTATCTATATTCTAATAAATCCAACTATTTTAACCAAAATTATCTAATGTCTCATATATTAGACATAAAATATAATAAAAATTACGAGAAAAACTAGAAAACCTTTATATATTATTAACAAAATAGTCGGTTTGGGTCTGAGTTGATTCAGAACAAACAAGAACTAGAACCACCCCAATTATTAGTCTGGATAAAATGACTTAACCAGATTGGTTCAGTTCGGTTCGGTTTGGTCAAGTAGAACGACCCATTGACAGCCCTAGGAGATTGTAGTCATCGAGGAGCTTTGCAATGGTGATTTTCTTGGAATGATCTGAACCGTCTTTTCAACCACAGCTCTGGTAAAGTTAAGGTTCCATGTTCAGACCCATGACTGAGCTTAGAGACAAGTAGAGGTTGGATTTGATCCAAATCTTGGTGTATTTCCTAGGGTTTTGGCTCACAGAAGAAGATGACTTGGTGTGAGAAGGGATAATCATCCACTTCCGCATTGTTTCCACCCTCACCCTTCCCCTCTCCTTCCCTTGATGCATCTTCATCTCTAAAATTCATCTCATTCTCTCCAATCCCAATAGATGTTCATTGGAAAAAATACTAGCCAAACCCTTACTTTTATTCCCTCTTACCCTCATGTGATGATAAGGAGCATAGGAACAATGATTAAAAGAAACAATTCTTGAGAAAGACAATGAGAAAGAAAGAAGCAACTTTCGAGAAAGACAACGAGAAAGAAAGGAGCAACTTTCTCCAAAAATGTTTTTTTTTTTCATTTGGTCATTATTTTCTGAGCATTACTGATTTTGTCAATTCAGCAAATTTTTCTTTTGTGCAAAAGTTTCTCGAAAATATTAATCTTTGTAGATATATGTTAATAGTTTTGAAATTCTAAAATGTTATGCTTTTCTAAAAAATTATATCACTGTTAAGTGTTAAAATTATGCTCTTAAAGTAATTAAATCATTTCAAGTTAGTCTCTTCTTCACTTAGAATAAATTTGAAGGTTAAAAAAATTATTATATTACTATACATATCATATTACAAGGAAAAAACTTGTTGATATTTTAGGTTGTAAGTATTATTTTATAAATATTTTATTTAATGTAAAAGTTTTTATTCGTGTAGGAATACAATTCTTATGGTGTTATACAATTTCTCCTGATATAAGGTTTTAAAGATATTAAGCATCAACTATATTTAATTAACTTATTTATAGTTATAAATATTTCAATGTAGAAAATAAGAAAGAAAGAATCGTCAGAATCATCTATAATGGTAAACTTGAAAACAAATTCATTTAAAGAGGAAAAATCATATTAAAACAAACTATCTCTATGATATTTATGTACATTTAATTATATAAACTTCTTGGAACCATATGAATTAATTTAAAGTACAGTAGATGGAATATGTGGAGATACATTCTAGTAATAATTTATGTTAGTACCCATAGAAATGAAAATTTTTCATGGAACTATATCGATTTTTAAACAATTGTGTCTCTCTTTTTATGTATACATGTATTAAAAAGAATTGATATATTCTCTTTTGCACCAAAAAAGGTAATGACATGGGAGAATGCACAGTGCTTTGTAAAAAATAAAAAGGAAACAAGAAAGCATGCATGCTCATCTGGTCCAAATCTGTTTTTATATACAAAAATACCTGTTCCACATCTGATGTAGCAGCCATATGCAATTGAGCTTAATTCTTTAAGATTCCAATGGATTTGGACATGCAAATTGAAAATATTGTCTCTAATATCTTGTTAAGAAAGTGATCCACTTTCTATGGTCCATTACCAATCCTTCCACATTATTTTATTGCACTTTTAGTCTCTCCCTCTCTGGACAAGAATGGAAGACATAGTCTCAATGTAATCTAATCCTTATTAGAAGATTTGTTACCTCTGCTAGATTCTGTGTCCATAATGAGGCCAGTTTCCCTCCCTGGAAACCCTGGAGGGCCTGGAACTCTGTGGTAGGAGGCCAATGGAGGATTGAATACTCCAGAAGATTTTTTTTTTCCAAGTCAATGGGGGAGTGTTGCATGACCATAATGATCTAAGGATGACTCTAGGAGGGTACTGATGGCTGATGGGGTAAGAAGGGTTTAGGAATAATTTTAGGACTAAAGGAAAGTGTTATTTATTTATTTTTGTAAGAAAGGAAAGGGTTGAGAGGGCCTAAAAAAGGTTTTGCATTAAATTGTTTTTTGTTTGGGTTAAATTGTTGATTTGATTAGTACAAATTCTCTGTGGAAGGACGGAATGGAAATATAGAAAATTCAAAACCAAAGTTAGGAATGGAATTTTTTCAATGCAAAATTCAACAGATATCTAGAATTAGAATGATGGATGGTATATGACAGTTTAATTTGAAAATTTGTTTTTGTGTAGAAACATTTTGTTTTCTCTTGCTACAGATTGATGTACAGTACCTATAAAAATGTACAGGTCCATATTTGTTCTCTTATTTTCTGATACTAATTGAATACTTCAACTTCTCAAAAAAAGAAAAAAATAAGGCATTAGAATCAAGGTGATGCTTTCCTTTCTTTCTCAAAAAAAGAAAAAAACAGGTCCATATTTGTTTTCTCTTAGCCTCTTAGGCCAGAATGGTGATGCTTTCCTTTCTTTCTATAACTCTATATGCAAGGTGTGTGGAATCAAGTCATTGAGTATAGGCATCGCACTTGCACAACTTACATATCTTGTTCCATGTTTTGCCCCTAGGTCCTAACTTCTTGACTACTAATTTTCAGGATCGTGAGATACCTCCAGATGATCCAAGACTCTTATTGGTCTCTCGGACGTATGAAAACTTGCGTGCTAGATTTGGACCTGCAAGGTTTTCTTAGTTGGAAGATAAATATGATGTTCCCGTTCACCCATTAACTTGCTTGATGCCTACATAGTTCTTCATTCTACATTACTGCAGTAATTTACCCTAGTTTTTCTTTTTATTTTATTCTCCCCCACTTGTGTTGTCACATTAGATATGTTTCTTCAGTTGGGCTAATGAATACCAGATTTAATAAAAAATAATTCAGAGGCAGTTATACGTATACATTCACTAGTATTCGCAAAGGAATTATAGCTAACTTGTCATGAATGTTCACAATAATGAACTCATTTAGAAAGCTAACAGAAGGTGCAATGTAGTAAACCACTTGGATTGTTTCCCTGACAATGGACTGGTCACCTTGGAGTTTGAATAAATACTGTAACTTCTGATTGGAGGCTTAACACTACTTATAATGATAAATACCTACTATAGGTCTCTGTTTTCATGGACTGGTCACCTTGTTGAACTTTCCAAGGTTAAGTCTAACAGATAAAACATAAAAGACAACTCCCTACCATGGCAGTACGTTTGTTTATAAATAAGTACGTTCACCCACCAAGGCAACTCCCCTCGAAGTACTAGTAGACGTTTCCATGAAGCTTTGTCCTTAACAACATATCCATGAGCATCAAATTCAAATGAGAGCGTAGTACATAATTGCCCAGTGGAGAGTAAGTTCTTAGTAATAAAAGGAACATATAATATATATTGTTGAGCTTAAAAGAGGCAGTAGTAGAATGTAGATAGGAAGAACTAATGTTTTTAATTGATAAACAAGTACCTTTGCCCTGAAGGGATGGGTGATCTATCATATGGATGATATATATTGTTGGGCGAAATTTCAAAAATTTCTTTACTTTTATTGGGGAATCCTATTCCTAATTTAGAAAACTACATTTTCAAGGTTTGTTCTTGTAACTAAATCGGACCAAATCTGAAACCAAATAAATAGAGAGATATAGAGAGTATCAAATCCTTCATCCACTAAAGATGACACAGCTTAGGATGAGGCAGGATCAGCAGGTAGTCATTCACCAAGAACTAGTGATTCTTCAGCAAGAATCGAATGGGACAGTGGGCGCAACTACTAAATTGTTTCTTCAGGCAAAAAACAATATTAAGATCGAATGTTGATCCAATTCAAGAACTGGAGATCGAACAAGGTAGGGCGGCAAGAGCAGGAAGAAAAAGAGCAGAAGGCAAGAACAGTCTAACTGTGTTGTCTTCTCTCTGTATTCAGTGAATATGTATTGATAATTCACTCAACTCTCTTATTTATAGTCTTAAAGAGACAATTTCCTAATCTCATTAGGAGTTTCTTAATCCAAATCTTTATTTGGATCTGAACTCTTTAAGTGATAAGGATAATCCCTTATCTTATCTGCAGATAAAGATCAGCCTTCCTAATCATATTAGGAGTTTCTTAATCCAAATCTTTATTTGGATCTGGACTCTTTAATGCCGGCTAGCTTGACTCTCTTTGTATGGCGTGGGACCCTATCATTGATCTATACATTAGTCACATATAGCCTCTGTTACAAGGCCTAATTGAATTCACTACTGAATATAGTGAATCCCTGAGTCCATCACCATAGGCTCTTAATGGGCCCAATATTTACACTAAATGGTCCTTGGGTCCAGCCATCTTATGAAGGCCCAAGAACTGTGGACAGATGCAAGATTAGCCCATCAGGCATAGCGTTCAAGTAGTCTTACACTTAACATCTCAGCCCATAATGATCAAACATTGCCCGACAAGAGAGGACCTCTCCCTCGGCTGCAAGGTGCAGTGTTGCACTCTCTACTCACATGGATCCCGGGAATTAAAACATTCTACAAACATTTTAAAACCATAATATATATATTTTGCAAAATAAATTTCAACGATAGAAATCAATTGCCAATAGTTTCAGTTTCTATCAGAGAGAGTGCATCCCCGATCATTCACTTTGTCCGACAAAAGGGTTGATCTTGTCACTATGATCACCCACTAGATGAATTCTCGGACTATCCCAACATACACAGGTTTTGACCCCTCTAAGGATCTCATTGATTAGTATATCAAAGACAACCCAATCTGACACCTAGTGCAGCATCATAATCGAGTATAGGGGTCAGGTGTAACATTCTAGTTTTGCCCATCTGTCTCCAAGGTCCAAGGCAATACTGGAATTTGGTCCGGTTCAAGATTTCAAGAAAACCCACACTGCATGTACCTCAGGTCTCACCCTAGTAGTTAAGACAAGCCACCTCAATCAACTTGGCAGTACATCAATGTCAGACTTGACAGGATAAATCTCCCCAGATCTATCTAACGGCTATGAAGATTCTAAACTAATACAGGTTTCATATGTGTCCAGTTTAAGAGTATTACACAGAAACATACCACAATATCATGAATCAAATATGTATTTTATTCATTTACAATAAATGTTATAATGTACATCATGCTGATTGAAGCTAAGGGCATATACCGTCTAACATGCCCACTAGAATTTGGGTACAAATGGGGTCATAAAAGGAGGCACCACTGGATGTTATCATGGCAATGGGGTTGGAGTTGAGAGATCCAGAGCTAACTTGACACTGCAGATTGAAGTGATTGTGATAGGATAGAGCTCCATGCTTGACCTGATTTGGTGTAGATTTGGAAAACATTGAGGTTGCATTGGATTTGAAGTTGTTAGAGGCACCACTACTTCTACCACATCTTCGTCCACCAGTGCCACGACCCCTATCGGGATTGATTGGTGATTCGTTCACCTGAAGTTTTGATTAAAGTTTTTAGTAGCCGAAGTCAACGGATTGGGAGATATCATCTCCCAAAGGTTTCTGTCTTTCAAGTCTCAACTCATGATTTAGGAGACCGTGAACTTTTCTGGGGAGACAGCATCACCTCGTGGTAACAGATATTTCTAGAACCTCATAGTTGGGTCCGAGACCCCCAAAGGTGTAGAGGATCTGATCTTGAAGTGAAAAAAGACTACCAATTGCTGTGAGCAAGTTTGCTTCAGACCTGATTTCAGAAGACATTCAAACATGGTGGAATATCCTTTTCTGAAGATGAATGAGTTTGGAGGGGATTTTACATCACCTTTGCTAAAGAAGGTGCAGCATATAGTATCGTTCCACACGTTTGTTGGACAGTGTATGCCCTTGGGTATAATAGTGTTTGTAACTGACTATTATTGTGAACAAAAATGCATTTGTTTCATGTGTCATGTGGTATGCTTCTTTTAATTGAAATGTTATATTACATTTTAGGATCATGTTTAAGATACCATATACGGTATGTAGTCTAAATGTTCTTAACCAGTTAGCTAAACTTAGGTGGTATAATCATAATAAGGTTGACATTCACACACTACCTAAGTGATGTAGTAGACTATCTCATCTGTTAGGGCTGTGACCCAAGTGTGGGGATAGGTGTTAGACTGAAATATTGAATTGGACCAAGTTTCAGATTATTCCTAGGTGGAATAGTTGAATCATTGGTTGTGATCCTTTACTTGATAATTGTACACGATCAGATATCTAGACAAGTAATCATTGTGATAAGATCTGGGAGTTTTAGGTGATAGGATCAAACACAGCCATGTTCTCAAGGAATCGAGTAATTCAATATCAAAGGATAAACCATCTTCAGCTGGATTGAATCGCTAGAGAGGGGATTGTTGGGAGTAAAACACCACAACTGTTTTTGTACTTGTGAAGACCTTTCGATCAGGTAAAGTTCTCCCATTCGATTTTGCTATTCTCTTATCCGATTCTTGAGTTCTTGAACCCCAGTTTTGAAAAAAATTTGAACAATTTCATCCCATGAGAGTGTCTTAACTTTCACATGACAGGCATGGTAAGCCACAACTTGGACGAGAACACTTTCGATTTTGGCGAGGAATGATGGTAACCATCCTAGCAGCAATTGGTCTTGGGAGATCCATTTATAAGCACATTCAAAATTGGATTCCATTTTTGGATTTTCCTTGGTGAAGCTGCAGCTTTTGGGATTCTTCTATGCAACTTAATAAGTGGCTACCTTTCAGCAGTGGGTAAAATTGGGCACGCCATAACAGGTAGCTGTGGTCATTAAGTTTTATAGTGATGAGACTTGCAAGATTTCCCAGAGTGATAGTTGACGAGTTGGAGGATGATGGAGAAGAAAGAGCAAGTTTGGTTAGAGTGGTGAGGTGCGGTACAAGGACGTAGGTTTCTAATACCAAAAAAGGACACAAGAAAATGGATATGGAAAGCTGAATTCATTGGTGTTTATTTGTAATACCTTCTCATGAGCCTGATGAGCCCACCTAAATCATAGGGAGATTTAGGTGGGTTCTGAAGTCTAATATATCTAAATCAGTTTTGTTATTGAATATCAGAATTAAACTTTCTTGCCCAATTTTCTGGCCAGGATTTGGGCTTTATATAAAGGCCAGGCTTGTGCTCAAGATCTAGACCCAATGGTTGGGCTAGGCTCAGGCTTGAATCTAGACCCAATGGTTGGCCAGGATTCTACGTCACCTTGCTCCATTACCCCGACCCTGCATTCTCTTTGACTCTTCTCTCTTATCCCCCTTTCCACCACTCCCAATTTGCCATCTTAGCAACCTCTCTTTTCATTCCTCTCTTCCCATTGGGCGCTCTCTCTCTCTCTCTCTCTCTCTCTCTCTCTCTCTCTCCCACAACTCACATCTCTCACTTTCTATAATAACCTAACTTATCTTCTTAATTAGCTCAATATATGTTTTATCCTCTCTTTCACTTTTATTTCTAATTCCCCTCTATTATCCAATTTCCCATAAAAATAGGGCCATAATTTATTAAGATTTGGTTTCCAAATCAAACAATATATATATATATATATAGACCTGATTTCAAGCAAATTAAGTAGAGGAGAATAAGAGGAATTYGGTGTTTCCTATATATTTAATGGCATCTTCCATTATTGTTAAATAATTCATTCTTAAATAATAATCTATTGTTAAATAATCCATTAGTTATGAAAATTACTAAAATTTTCTGGAAAATATTCTACCAAAAGTTATGAATTAATTATTTCAGAAATAATCTATTACTTAACAAATATCAAATAATTTAATAGTCTACCAAAAATTAATAAACAATCCATTATTTAACCCTTTTTGGTTATTAATAAATGTTCAAAATTTCAATGTTTAGCATAATTTACATTAATCGTTGTAATTTAATAAATTTTTATAATAATA